CCCCACCCCCCACCCTGGGGGTGGGGCTGTTGGGCTTCTCCTTTTGCGGCGTTTTGTGGTTTTTTTTTTTTTTTTTTTTTTTTTTTTTTTTGCCCCCCCCCCCCCCCCCCCCCCCCCCTCCTTTCCAAGCGTCTCGTTTTCCGGATTCGGTCGTCTACGGTCGTTGCCGGTTTGTCGAACACCCCCCGAACTAATACCCCCGTGTTAGGTCTATACGGCTTGATCGTGGCGCTACTGATGAACTCCAAGGCGTCGTTGAACACCACTTGTTAAGGCCTGTTCAAGCAATCACCAGCAATCGTGGGAGGGATTAGGTTGGCCAGCTGTATCTATTGCAAGGACCTAATCTTTCTTCGTCGGGTTGTTTCTACCGGAACTGGGATGTATATCCCATGTTCATCTCAAGTCATCCAGGGGTATCACGATTCAAAGCCCGTGATGAGCCGGGTCGCCACGGGTGCCAAGCAGGCGTGGTGAAAGAGCGGGGAAGGTGGAACGGAACAGGGTGGGTGCATCGTAACAAACGGATAGGTAATGGGTTCTTCATTATATGTACCAATGTCGCAACATGCTCGATTCGTCTTATCATCATCTGTTTTAGCTGGTTCTCATCATAGACCTGGTGATGGGGGCAAAGCATTGTAGTTTTAAGTTGGCAATAAATCTGCTTTCACCTCAGGGAATAGTCTTCTCTATTGAGTGCGTCCGCCCCTGATGCAAGCCCTTCCCTCATCCCCTCACACCTCGGTCCCCGGAGCCCGACCGAGAGCCACGACATATGAAATTCCATGAAATGCAAACGGGAAAATAAAATATGTACCATAAAATAAGTGGAAGAGAAGCGGCCTCCCCAGAAAATTAAAAATGCTCCTTGTAGTTAAATTTACTCCCCAAGGCTGTCTCTGTCGTTTTTCGTATATCAGACAGACAGACACACACACACACACACACATACACATCACCCATACTATGTATGACCGGGGAAGTCGATAGGTATTTTACATGTACATGTACAATGGAATCGAAGCCGGAGGATCCACCGTAAAAGCCCCCCTTGGATTCATACTGTGGATGGGGGTTTTTAGATGACATACTAGAGAGGGACAAGGTCAGTCAAGGAATATCCCGCCAGAAAAGGGTTGGTTGGATGAGAGCGATAGATAAAAACCAGGGACGAGGGAGAAACATGACTCACCGGGATGAACAGGTACGGCACCCTGGCCTCGTACTCGCGCCACGCGTCGCCGTACTTTGCGCGGCAGCGCTCGATGTCGCGTGCGGCGCGGTGGGCGATCATGCAGCAGAAGAAGAAGGGGTAGAACCAGGGGAAAGGGCTGCGGAAGCCGGTGATGAGCCCCCAGCAGATGGCGAAGTAGGCGTCGCAGGCGTAGTGGACCTTGCGGGCGAGGCCGTACCAGCCGTCGACGAGGATGGTGTCGCCGCGCGCCGACGTGATGGTCGCCGGGTCGCGCACCGTCTGCCACGGCAGCTGCGGGAAGGTCCGGCGCGGCACGAGGGTGCCGCGCTCCGCGGCCCGGAAGCGGTTCTTTTGGCTGTTGCAGCTGTCCCACACCCAGTAGACGAAGAGGTACGAGAGGTAGAGCGCCGCGAGTGCGTACGGGTTCCACCGGTACGTCGACGGCGCCTGGTTGGCCAGGTAGATGGTGCAGTGGCAGTACGACAGCGGGACGCCGGCCAGGTTCCAGAAAATGAGCATGAACCCCCACTTCTCGTAGTACATGTCCCAGGTGGTGACGATGAGCTCCTCGCCCTTGGAGCACGCGTTGGCGTACAGGTAGTGCGCCATGACGACGAAGCCGACCTCGCCGCTGACGTAGCCGTACTGCTCGTACTGGCGCGCCGCGGCGCCGCACGAGAGCAGGAACAGGATGAACCAGGGCAGGCGCACCTCGAAGAACATCTTGAAGTCGAGGATGCCGAACATGCGCGGGTTCAACTCCGCGCCCATGAAGAAGTCGTAGATGGGGTATCCCGTCATCCGGTGCGTGGCCCCGCGGGCAAATGCCGAGATGTAGGCCACGATGCTGACGAGGAAGCCCGAGAGGATCGCGACAGACATGAGCGGGCCGAACTCGTCGATGATGGTGTACAGCGGGAACAGGCCCGAGAAGTGCAGCCCAGCGGCCAGGGCGATGGTCGTGTAGAAGGACGCGTAGGCCGAGCAGTAGTACTTCATCTGCTTGCCACCCTCGTGAGCGAGAGGCTTGCCGTAGGCCCAGATGCCGGGGAGGAGACAGTAGCAGGCGCCCTCGAAGACGAGGAATGTCCAGTATATGGCCCAGGCCCGGGCGTGCGGGAAAGCGCCGGTGTAGACAAGGTTGAAGAGGTGCTCGGCAAACTCGCCCCAGCTCTGGTCGGCCGACCGCGATGGGAACTTGCCGTTGTAGTAGGTCGCCCCTATCCACATATACCACATCAAGAGGGGGAAGCAAAGCATCATGGTCGCTGTGCCCAGGGAGCCGCCGAACTCAAACTTTCCAGAGTAGTCGACCTTGGGGTCCAACCCAGCCTTCCAACCGTCGATCACGTCTTCCCCGGCGTGGCCATTAGCGTGGCCATTAGCGTGACCATTGGCATGGCCGTTGCCGTTGGCAGTACCCTGCAGTTTCTTGGGGGTGCCGTTGGCCTTGACCTTGGGATCCGTGCCCAGCAGCTGCTCTGGAGAGGAGGTGGCCTCGGTGGACACGTCATCTTCGTCGATGTGCTCGATGAATTTGGCAGTGCCGCGCCTCCGGAGAGTGCCTTTGCGCTTGGCACCCTCGGCCGCCGAGCTCGAATCGCCGTCGAGGTCAGAACCGTCAGTCGGGGCTTGGGACTTGCGGCGCGTAGAACGGTGACCAGGCGTTTCAACCATGCCCTCGAAGAGTTCCTTCTTCCTTTCCGCAAGTCAGTAAACGCGGGGTTTCATGTGAGCTTCAGACCAGAGTGTGTTGGGACAGGTTGGGCTCAGGAATCTAATCAGTCCACCAAAATGCCAGCGAGCCTGCCAGCTAAACATTCCGCGCAGGTAGGTCTTTTTTCGTTACACCTGTCCGTCCCGAAGCCACACGGAGATACAATGCAAATGATGGAGATGAATTGGACACTCTGGCTCTATTTTTGTTATTTTTTTTTGGCTCAAACTTACCTCGGCGTCTGTCTGAGGGAGTATCTGGTCGACATGTTGGGCCAGATCTGTCGCGACTTATATTACTTATTCGTGTCGCGGAATGGCCGGTCTGGATTTGGTTCCCAGGTCAGATCTGGAGGTTGCTGGAGGCGTAGGCCGAGGCCGAGGGAGTGAAGAGGCGGGACGAGGAGCGGTGAGGGAAACCCAGCGTTTGGATCAGCTCGTTTGCTGCATCGGAGATCTCTGCTGCGATGGATCGCGTGGCGTCTGCAGGATGCAAATGCGACTTCTTGGGGATTTTTTGTGGTTGTTGACATTTTTGCCTGTTGCTGGTTGGCTGGGTTCCTGCCGAGGCCCACAGAGGCGGGTCGGCAAAGCCAAGCAAAACCCCTGAATTGGCTACAAACGGCATGTCATCAACCACGCTCCTTCCTCTTCTTAGCTCAAGCTATTATGAGGCACGTCCGATATATGGAATACCAACGCTCGCAGCCGCAGAATGAAGCTGTAATCAAGTATTCTTGCTGTCAGGCAGATCCTTGGCCCCCCAACCTATTCAAGGCAGCGGTATCGGTGTCTTTCCTGCCCGTCGTATATGAGCGTTTGACGCAGGTCTCCTTGTAGATACGCTGCTTGTGTGTTTCACCACTTCAATTGACAACTCTGGTCTAGCTATCCATTATCTTATGTATTCTACACTATGAGTAGTTGCCTCTTGCCGTTAAGCCACCAACGGCAAAACCATTCACATATTCGGCCCTGGTGTGTGGTCTGGTTGGTTTCCTCGCTGGTCTTCACGTCGGCCCTCCGGTTGCCATATATCCCACAGCGACGGGCCTATCCCTTCGATGACAAGAACACGCACACAAGTATCGTAGTAGCAGGCGCAATACTAGTCGCGGCAAGCTACTTGTAAACATAAATGCTCCCACTGTCAACCACGTCCGTACCCATGGCACTTTGTCGCCAGCCAAAACAGCAGATGGTCCAAGATTGATAATATGAGCCATGGCATCAAGGAAGATGGCGTGGACTTCGTTCCAGATGATGGGCCGCACGGAAAACCAATGCTCTCCATCCCACCAGGGAAAGCATCGGCAACTTGGTGGTAAATCGAAGAGGGTCGACATCGCTGCTTCCCATATATAGCCGTGACCCTGGCTCTTCCTCTCCTGCTAATCCCATATATCATTCTCATTGCGTTGGGCTGACAAGGGAGACTCTTAAGACTAGAACGCTCTCGCGCTATGATACGTATCTTTTCTATGATTCTGTGATTCCGTTAGAAAATGACCGTCGCCGCCAGGAGTCGCATCCTTGGTTAGATATGGTTTCCGTAACGCTGGAAAGATCAATCCAGCCCATTACAAGAGGGCGTTCTAGGCATGTGGGATAGTCTGCCCTAGGAGTGTTCAAACACTGCGGATATGTTAGAACATGTAGATTAAAGCAGAACAAACAGGTAGGTGGGACATGGCTGGGAGCTAGGAGAACGCAGCCAGAGGAGAACGCAGCCAGAGGAGAATGCAGCCTGTGGGGAAACAAACCAGGACGCAAGTGTAACTTGCTTGATATAAGAAAAGACATCCAAGATTCCATAGCATCCATGGTGCCAAATATTTTTGATAGCCAACTGCCTTCAAGGATCACCACCACATCCTATCCCAAGAGGACAAGGGGATGAAAAAGGATAGTCCTTAAATGGCAAAAAAGTTGTTGTCAGAGTCTCAGCTGGGAATTGAACTTACCACCTATCGATAGTCAGGACCTGCTGTCGGTGGGGGGGGAGGGGAACTCATCATGGCTGTGATAACCGGAAGTACCTATTATCAAGACATGGTGCGTCAGCAGGGGACCAAGGGGCGAGGAGTACAAACCTAGCACACATCAGGGGATGTTTGGGTCTCGTCTCGGTGCTGCCAAATAGTTAGTACTCGGGAGAGAATTAACGAGCGGAATGCTAGCTGAGACTCTGACAACTACGCCACTGGGCCTTATTGAAAGCCATCGCTTGTATTTGGGACTATAAGGTGTGCCCTTCACGATCTCGCCTTCTTCTCCAGGTTCTGGGTCCTCGGCGAGTTCACTGGGCACTCGGCGTGGACATTCGGGTTGGGAATCGGCCCAGCACAAGGTCAATTGCCCGAGACGGGGTAACCTGCCAAACACCAGGCGTGAGGCACATGGCTCTGCTGTGATGTTTGGCACTCTGGCCAGGCTTCCCAGCATAGATAACCGTATAGCTCCTACACAGCAAATTAGCTTGTTTGGAGTCTGATGATATATGAGAAATACAGAGCATCAAAGACAGCAATGGCTGGTTAGAGCAGCAGGTAATAAAGGCACAGAGCAGAGCAGAAATCCTGGTTGCTAGAAAATGTGCTGACGATAAGAAGAGAAGCAGGAATGGGAATTTAGAGGGAAAGGGGCAAGGGCCTTGGTGAGATACTGAGATTTGACTCCCTTACATGAAGCCACATGATAGGCAGGGGCATAGATATCAGAATGCTTCGCCAACACCCAGATCAGGCGTGTAAAATAAGGGAAGAGGACAAAAGACAAGGCACAATGATCACAAGGCACAGGAGGTTGAAGACAATGATGGTTGCATGTGTCAGTCATATAAATCGTCAACTCCAATAACCTGCAACAGTTCCCTTCATCGACAGCATTGCCCGTACAAGCTATTACAAAGCCACACAAGTCATATTCTCATGAGAAACATGAAGAAGAAACATCAGTCATCTCCAAACAGCAAGACATAAACAGCCCAACGCGTGACGGTCCAAGGAAGAAAACATAAAATCTCGTCACTTCATCAACAACATAAAAGGGGCCCGGGGCACCTCACGTAAAGAACCGCTTGATAGCGGCCCTAAACCCAGTCTTCTTCTCGTCCTTGGCCGCCTTCTCGCGCCTCTCCAGCCTCTTGGACCGGCGCTGCCCCGAGGCCGGTCCCGCCTCAGCCCCGCTGCTCCCGGACTCCCCGCCGCTCCCGCTCCCGCTCCCGCTCGCCGCCTCCCTCGCCTCCCTGACCGCCTCCTTGACGCGCGCGGCGACCTCCTCCCGCGCCCTCTGCAGCTTGGCCTTGGTGGCGCCGCCGCCCGAGGAGGAAACGTCCTCGGACCTGCGCCTCGACGACCGCGCCGTCGCGGACCGCTTCAGCTCAACCGACTTGGACCCTGCACCTCCCCCGTTGGCAGTGGCGGTGGCGTCCTTGGGCGCAAAGTTGCTCTCCAGCACGCTCTGCCCGTTCTTCATGTCGAAGAACTTCTTCGGCGGCGGCGGCGGCGTCGTCTCTGCCTCCTTGCCGTCGCCCGCGGTGCGGCTGTGCCGCCGCGAGCCGCTGCCGCGGTGGTGGTGGTCCGACGAGCGCTCGCGCGATCCGCTCGCCTTGGACGCCGACGAGACGGCGCGATCCTTGCCCTTATCCTTGGAGGGCGAAGACGACGAAGGGCCGTCCCTGCCCTTGTCCTGCTGCTCCTCCCTGTCGCGGGCGAGCCGGCGCTCCTCCTTGCGCTTCTCGTGCGCCGCCTGCTCCTCGGGCGTGCGGCGCCGCCTCTTGGAGTGCGAGCTGCTGGTGCGCGACTCGTCTCGGTATCCCCCCGCGTCTCCGCTGCCCGACCTGTGCCGGTGGCCGCGGCGCGGGCTGTCCTTGCCGTTGCTGACGTCGCGGTCGCGGTGGGACGAGTGTCGGCGGGAGGATCTGTTGCTGGGGCGCTTGGGCGACGCCGGTGTCGAGGCTTCCTTGTTGCGCTCGTCGACCTTTGCGGTGGTGGCGGCGGCGGCGGCAGTGGCGGTCGCTTGCGGAGCGTCCTTGGCCTTGTCTTTGCCTGCGTCGTCTAAGAAGAGGTCAGCAACAGAACTGCGAAGCGCGTCTTCTTGCTCTGGCCCAATGCTCCTCGTCCTGGTTCTGCCCCTGCTGCCACCGGCCTCGCCTCCGGCCGGGACAACCTCCCGAAGTGGGGCGGCCGGCGTCACCTCGGTTTCCTCTCGCGCCGCGACAGCCTTAGATGTCAATGTCTCAGGGGCGCGATCCGCGGCTTCGTTGGGTGGACTCGCGAGCCGCGGCGGGCTGTTGGGCACGCTGAGGGCGTCCGCCGTCGCGTAGATGACCACGGCGGCGGCGACGACCTCCTCGGCTTTCTTGATCGTGTTCCTGCGCTGCTTCCGGAGGCTGCGGGCGCGGCTCAGCTGCTTAGCCAGAGGGTCGTCAAGATCAGGGATGACCACAGCAGGAGTCGGAGCCCTGAATAGGTCGGTGGTGCTGATTCCCGGCTGGAGTGTCCCGTAGTCGTGCCTTGGGTCAAGGAACGCATCGTCAGTCTGTGTTCCCTCGCGAACCGAGACGACGATAGGCTCCTTACCCTTCTCTGAGTGATCCTCGGCGGTTCCCTGCTCCACCACAATGGCCTCGTCCTTCGTGACGGGCTCTTTCTCGATCTTATGGAACGACTCCGACAGCGGAATGTTGTCCTCGATTTGAGAGTACTCCATATCCGCAGAGGATAGGGATCGCACCTCTGCTGTTGGCGAGTGTGGTGCTGGAGTATCCTCTACCGTGGTCTGTTCTTGGAGTATGGTAGGAGCAGCGGACTCTCCAGGAGACGGTACAATACCACGACTCTGAGCGATGGAAGACAACGATGCCACAGCATCGCCCAGGTCGGCTTCCGGACTAGGTTCTGGCACAACCTCCTCAGCGGATGGTTGCGTCACTCCTTTCTCGACTTCTTCCGGAACTTCCCCTGCGATTGGCCCAGTGACGGCGCGGTTTGCCACGATCCCAGCCAGATCAACGGTTTCTGGTCCAGCAGCCTCTGCGACCGACTGTGAGATAACCGGGGCCTCGACGAGGACAATGCTCTCTTCGGCAGGGTGAGTTTCGGGCTTGCTTTCCTCCTCAGCTGCAGGAACCTCCAGTTGCGCTGGCTCGGAAACACTTTCCGTCGGTTCAGCCGCAGTGGTTTCGCGTGGCGCGTGTTCTTCGACACCAGCAGAGACCTGCTCCTCGCTGGCAGTGGGGATCGCCTCGACTTCGCCATGGTCCGGTGCGGGCTTAAGCTCATCAGCCGTTGCATCGCTTTCAGGTTCTGCCAAGACAGCCTCAGCAGTCTCTTCCTCGGAAATATTGAGAGGAGTAGTATCGCTTGGCTCCTGAGCTTCCAAAGCATCCGTCTCGACAACCGGCGCTGCCAGGTCCCGAGAATTGGGGATGGTGGCCGGCTCTTCGTCCTGGATGATAGCTTGACCATCTGTGTCTGAGCTAGCTGGTTCTTCAGAGGTGGTTTCGGTGGCCACCGGCTGATCCTCCTCGCTGGTGGCTGTTGGAACGGCTGGAGCTTCCGCATTCAAGCCGGAGTCTTCGGCGGGTTGGTCATTGATGTCACCCTCATTGGCTTTGTCGTCCGACTCAGTTGCGATTTCTCTTGGACCATCGGCTTCTTGCGGAGATTCCTGCACGATTTCTATAACTTCCGGTGCTGGAGCTGATTTGTCTTCCGATTCAAGAGAGGGAGCAACCAAATGGCTCTCGGCAATATCATCGGTTGAGACCACTTCACCAGAGGCTGGATCTGACTCGAAAGCTGGCTGATCATGGACAGTGGGCGCATCTTGAGTTTCATCACCTGAAGCCTGGGCTAGGACTTCAGGGACGGCAACGTCCTCCGTCAGGCTGGGTTCGGCCAGTAATTGTTCGCTAGAGATTACCTGGTGATCGTTGAGATCCGCGTTCTTGGAGCTATCATCAACTGGAGCAGGCTCAGATTCTTCGACAGTTGACTTAGATGATTCGACATTCTCCGCTTCGAGCACTAGATTGTCGACAGACGCTGACGGTACAACCTCTGCATCGCTGGGTGCTTCTGCCACAGAGTCTGGCTCGACCATGACATAGTCGTCAATGGCTTCGCCGTCCTCCTTGACGATGTCCTCTGCGCCCTGGATGGCGACAGGTTCGCTTTCTACCGCGACAGCATCATCTGCGACTTCGGCCGACTTGGGTGGTTCAGGAGCTTGGTCACTCAGACCACGATCGCTGTCCAGAGCAGGTTCATCGTCCTCAACCACCTCGAGGAGTGTGGCTTCGCTAGTATCGAGAGCTTCCTGGGTATCGGTCTTCTCCAACGAGCGCTCGCCGTCGTCAACGACGGCCGAATGGCTCAGCTCTGCCTCCTGTATATCAAGGACCGCAGTGTCGGGAGCAATGTCGCCAGTGCTATCCTCGGCTTCGTCTGGATTCGCTGGCGCCTCCAGGGAAGTATCCAGAGCAAGTGAGGCATCAGCTGCAGTTACGGGATCGGAGGCTTCACTCTCTCCCGCTGGTGTTTGCTCATCAATATCTTGATGTGTAGCAGAGCTTGATGCGTGAGGATCGGATTGTGCGAGACCATCAACAGCTGGAGATTCGTCTTCTCCCTGCTCCTGGGAAGTTTCAGGGCTAGTCTCGACAGCAGGGGCTTCGCTTGTGAGTGTTTCGGCAAGCACAACGTCCTCTTCGGCTTGAACTGAGGCCCCCACGTCATCCGAGTGGTCTTGTGTTACATCCTGAGAGGTTTGTGGTTCCAAGCTCGGTGACTCCGGTTCAGCAGCCGGCACGATTGTTTCATCTACAACTGGCTCGGAGATTTGGATGGGTGCACCTGTCTCGACGTTCGAGGGAGCCTCCTCGGAGGTAGTGGCAGCTCCGGCGTCTTCGCTCTCTTGGATCGCCAACGATAGCTTTTCAGTGTCCTCCGATTCCGTGGTTGGCTTTTCGATGTTATCCAATTCGGCAGTTGCTTCCAGAGCAGTGGCTTCAGCGGGAACGTCGTCAGCTGGTGAGGAGGATTCCTCAGGCACATCATGCACTTCTTTGTCGGAGGATGCCTCAATCGCTTGCGGTGCCTCGACCGTCGGCTCTTGGTGGCTTAGAGGCGCCAAGTCCCCATCATCCTCCTCCTTGATGGCAGCCTCTACAGGAAGGTCTGGAGCATCCTGGTGGGTGCTCTCGTCATCGGTGTGCTGCTCAGACACTGGTTCCGGTTGGACTGAATCTTCTGCATCGTCATTTGGTGATGGGACAGCAGCTTCCTGGTCAGCAGCCGGTTGGGCATCAGGACCTTCCTGTGTTTCACTAGGCAGGATGCTTTCCTCAGTCGGCTCATCAACCTGCGAGGCAGCAGCGTCTGTGACGGGCAGGTCTTCCACATGGACCTCCTCGGAAAGGACAGGTTCATCCAGCGAGGCATCAGCGGTGGTTGAAAAATCCTCAGCAGCCGTGACTGTTTCTAAGGGAGGTTGCTCATCAGATGTAGCGGCTGGCAGCACCTCAAGTTCTGCACTGTCGCTAGAGGCAGCGGGGACAGCCTCTGGTTGCGGCTCGCTGATCGGGTTTTCACTTTCGGTGCTGGCAGTGTCGCCTTGGATTTCCTCAGCAGGGCCTTGCGCAACTTCGGGATTCTGATCCTCGACGGGGAGTTCCTGCTGGATTGGAGTATCTCCCGTAGATTGTGGCAGTTCTTCCGCCGCCGCAGCATCTTGGGGTTCTTGAACGCTCGACTCTTCAACATTGGAGTCAGCCACGTCAACCACCGGCTGTAGACTACCGGTTTCCGTTGATTCGAGCTTTGAATCCTCGGCAGGGGCCAAGGCCCCTGGCGACTCGACATCTGGGCCATCTTCGTGCGGGGGTTGGTCCTCCTGCGGCGCAACAGAGGGTTCTATGGCGAGAGTGTCGGAGACTAGGTCTGTGGGAAGGTCTTCCGAGGGCTCGCCAGTAGCGTGGTCACCAACATATTCTTCCAAACCATCTTCTGTTTGAGTCGACGGCTCTTCCACATCGTCTTCTTTGGGTCTCGTGGTAACGTCAACTTCGCCGCCCGTCGCCTCTTGGTGTGCAGGATCACTCGAAGGGCCGAGGTCGTCACCATTTGCGTTGCCGGCGACATCAGCCGGAGCCTCTGCCTCGAGGGTTACTGGGGAATCAAGTGCTGACGTCGTTGCCTCCACAACCTGATCCTCTGGACTTGTGCTGTCTTCCTCGGCCGTTACTGCGGGCTCGACCTCTCGCTCAACTTGATCAACATGGACAGCCTCCTCAACGGAGGCCGGGGATTCACTGATCTTCCCCGGCTCTGCGTCCGGAGATGGGTGTTCCGTTGGGGGTTCCGGTGTTGCAGCATCGCTGATTTCTGAGACGGCCTCTACTTCTGGCAAGGGCTCTTCTGTTTCTGCTCGTGCAACACATTCAGCAGGTACTTGGCCGTCATCCTCAGCTGTGGGCTCTTGAGGTTGTTCAAGTTCGGTGGGTTGAGATTCGAGAGCTGCAGGCTCGTCCGCTGCCGAGTCACCGACCTCGTTGGCAGCGGTGGTGATCTCGCTGTCTTGTTGTGGCTCATCTGGAACAGCATCTTCCACAATCACACCAGAGAGATCGGTGGTAGTATGGTCTGGCGCCGTATCCACGTCTCGCAAGTCCCCGTCGGTTGGTCCTGAAATGCCGGCCGAAACCTCCCGCACATCGTCCCCTGGGGTATCAAGCAACGCTGGGTGTTCCTCACCTGTAGATGCTTTAGCACCTTCCTCGGTCCCGTCGTTTGCAGCCGGTTGCTCTTGGCTTTCCTCCTCGATGGTTGGCATCTCCTTGTCCGTGTTGGCGTCGTCGTCGCTGACTTCCTCATCCTTGCTCTCGGCGGCTGGCTCTTCTTTGGCCTCTTCGGTCGCGGGTTCTTCTTTGGTCTCTTCCACAGGAGGCTCCTCCTTGTTTTCGACAGCTGGTTCTTCCTTGGCCTCCTCAGCAGCGTCTTCTACCTTCGCCTCCTCAACAGTAGGCTCATCTTTGCTTTCCTCGGTAGAAGGTTCTTCCTTGGTTTCTTCGACGGCAGCCTCATCCTCGCTTTCGTCGACCACGGGCTCGTCCTTGCTTTCCTCAACGACAGGCTCATCCTTCGCGTCTTCGACAACAAGCTGCTCCTTATTTTCTTCAGCAGCAGGTTCCTCCTTGCTCTCCTCAACAGCGGCCTCTTCAGCGTTGTCCGCAATAGCCGGCCCGTCCTCCTTGTCGTCGGCAACCTGCTCAGTGGGAGGCGCCTCCTCAGCGGGCTTGTCTTGGCTCTCCTCGACCGACGGCTCTTCAACGTCGCCTCCCGCGGCATCGGCCTCGGGTTGATCGTCGGCGGGCTCTGACTTGGGCTGTTCGCCGGCTCCAGTCTCGGCCTCCGCAGCCACGGCCTCGGTCTCGGCGGGAAGGTCCTTGCTCTCGACCACATCTTCTTTGGCCTCCTCGACCACCTCATCTTTGGCCTCCTCGACAGGTTCATCTTTAGACTCATCAGCAGCCTCATCCTTGGCTGCATCGGCAGCTTCCTCCTTGGCCTCCTCCGCAGGTTCATCCTTGGCTTCCGCGACAGGCTCATCTTCGCCAGCCTCAGCCGGCTGGTCCTTGTCTTCTTCGACAGCCTCCTCCTTAATTTCTGCGGCAGCCTCGACTTGGCTCTCGACAGGTGCGTCCTTTGTTTCTTCAGGCGCCTCATCCTTGGCATCTTCCACGGGCACGACTTCGGCAGCCTCGGTAGATTCGTCCTTAGCCTCCTCAGCAGGCTCGTCCTTGGCTTCCTCGACGGGCTCCTGTTTAACTTCATCGGCGGGCTCGTCCTTGGCATCCTCAGCAGGCTCGTCCTTGGTTTCTTCAACGACCTCATCCTTCTTATCCTCGACAACAGCCTCATTGCTCTTTTCGGCAGGAGCATCGTCAGCGGCGGCGGCTTCGGCTACGGCCTCAACCGATGTTTCGCCGCCCGCAGCAGCAACAGCGGGCTCACCGTCGGCAGGCTCTTTCTGCTCCTCTTCCACAACGACCGCGGCAGCTTCATCGGCAGCCGGCTTCTGCTCGCCTTCCGCCTCACCGACGGCTGGCGCCTCGACCGCAACTTCTTCTGGTGCGGGTGCGTCTTCGGCTGCCGCCTGCTCCTCCTGGCCATCTGGCTTGGTTGTCTCGGTGGCAGATTCCGGCTCTTCGGCGGGGGCCGTAGGGGCGGACTTCTTATCGGTGGGGGCGGGCTGTTCTGCCGCGGCCGTGTCAGCCGCTTCGGCTGGGGCCTCCTCGGCTGTCGGTGGCTGGTCCGCGGCTTCTGCTTCGGCGGAGCTTGGCTCCTCCACGGCCTCCTGAGAAGCAGGGGCTTCCTCCGCGGGTTCGTCATCTTTTGCGGCGGGCTGCTCTTCCGATTTTGCCTCCGTGGGAGGAGCCTCTGCGTCGTCTGTCGTGGGCGCGGCTGCCTCGTCGGCCTCCTGTTCTTCTTTCTTTGCCTCGACCGGGTCCGGGGTTTGGGCTTCTGCGTCTGCCTTGGCGGCGTCGCTAGGCTCAGCTTCGGCGTCTTCTTCAACCGTCTTGGCCACTATTTCCGCAGCAGGCTCGGCGTCTTCTGTTTGGGCCTCTGCTTGGGTCTCCGCCGGAAGGTCGTCAGCCTCCTGAGCATCCGTCACTTCGGATAGCTCCGGTGCGGGCTCGGGTGCCGGATCAGCCTCCGCCTCCGCCTCCTCAGTAGCAGAGGTTTCAGGCTCGGCGACGTCTGTTGACTGAGGTTCGGCCTCATTGCTTGCCTCGACGTCGGCTCCAGTCTTGGTGCTTGGCGCCGGTGCGGCCTCTTCGGGGTCCGCCGGTGACGCCTCGGCGTCGGCGCTGGGGCCTGCCTCATCAACAGCGGAAGAATCCCTACTTTAACGTTAGGACAATGGCAGGAAGCACGAGGTACCGTTCCACTTACTCTTGTTTGGCTGGCTCTTGATCGTCCCCACTCGCAGCTGCCTCAGCAACGGGAGCAGCTGGTTCATCGCTTTGTTCAGCCACTTCCTGAGCCCTGTGGTTTTCGTTAGCAAGGTGTACGCTCACTAGTAATGGCCATGCGTCGCATCTTCTTACTCTGACTTCTCCGCGTCTGCGGCAGGTTCTTCGTCTTGGCTCTCCTGGGCATCGCCGCTCGGTTCGTCAGCAATCTCGCGGGACTCAACGAGGGGTTCCGCAACTTCATCTCCCTTTGCAGGTTGACTGGCACCGTCGTCCGGCGTGCTCTGGTCCTGGGACTCCTTGGATTCCACAGTCTCGCTGTTGCGAGAGTCAGTACAGAGCAAAGATGCCAGGAAAGGACCTTGGGAGACTAGACTAACCTTGCCTCAACTGCACCAGTCTCGCCAGGGGCGCTTTCCGTCGCAGCAGCAGCCCTAGTTCCGTTAGAAATAACAGCAGTGGTCATTGGTGTCAGGGATAACACATACTCGTCTGCCTCTGTGTCCTGTTCTGGCTTGTCTACGCTCTCGGCTTCCTTAGCCTCTCTGCTAGCTGTAGTTAGAACCTGCATTATGCGTAACAATAGCACACAAATACGGTGTATACGCACTCTTCCAGTGTCTCGGTGACAGCCGCGTCCTCCGCAGGCGCAGACTCACTATAAACCTATCAGTTGGGCACAGGGCAACGCTAGTAGCAACTTTACTCACGTAGCTAGAGGTGCCTCCTCGCCACTGGGTTGATCTTCGGTGGCTGTGTGTTCGACTGCGGGCTCCCTATAGCTGTAATTAGCCACTTGACAGCTCTGCGATCGAGAAGCAGTCAGATCACTTACTCCTCCTTGTCAGTTTGAGCGGGTGTGCTCTCCTCGACCTTGACGGCAGCGGTCTCAGCACCCTCATCTTGTCTGCACGAGAATTAGTCCGCTATCGGGATGACATCCTCATCAGCTTCACGACTTACTTCTCTTCAGAAACTGCAGCCTTCTCCTCTACCTCAGCAGGAGGAGCACCCTCGCCAGCCTCCACCACGGCCGCCTCCTCGCCCTTGACCCCGACGGAGTCATCATTAGTGGGCGGCAGGTCGTCCGCGGCTTCCCCGGCGGGGCTCTCCTCCTCTGCGGTTTCGCCACTCTCGACAACAGCAGCAGCAGCAGCCGGCTCGCCGGCGGTCTCGTCCTTCCCGGCTTCGGTTTCGGTTGGCGCAGTCGAGTCCTCCTCGACCTTGGCCTCCTCGACGACCTCTGCGGCAGCCTCGGGCGCGGCCTCCTCGGCGGGTGCGTCCGTGGCGGGCTCTTTCGCGGCTTCGGCTTCCCCGCCAGCCTTGTCATCATCGCCTGGCTCTGCTGTGGCAGGTTCGTCTTTGTCGACGGGCGGTGCGTCCTCCGCCTTAGCCTCAACGGCTTCCTCTTCGGCGGCTGCGGTGCCCTCGGCCTGCTCCTCCACATCGGTCCCCTGCTCAGCGGCTGGGGCGTCTTCGCCCTGCACCTCCGCGCTGGTAGCCTCAGCACCTACCTCCTCCTCACTTACCTTTGGCTCCTCCGCCTCGACCACCGCCGCCTCATCCGCCTCGCCCTCGGCCTCTCCACTTTCAACAGTGGCAGGCGCCGCAGGCTCGTCGTTTTCAGCAGCGGGAGCTTCCTCCGGAGCAGGCGCCGAGGCGTCCTCCTCCTTGGCCTCCGCAACCTCGACTTCGGCAGCCGGGCTAGTCTCCTCAGCGACAGCGGCCGCCGGCTCGTCGGCTTTCTCGGGTTCCGCCGCCTCCTCCGCAGCAGCAGCGGGCGGTGCTTCTGCCACCTCCGCCTCCACCTCCACCACCTCGGTTTCCGCGATCGCGTCTGGCGCGCTCGTCTCCTCAGCAGCAGGATCCACCGGCTCGCCGGCTTCCACAGGCTGCGCAACCTCCTCTGGTTTCGCGGTCTCCTCCTCCGCCTCCTCTGCCTTGGGTGCTGGCTCGCTGCTCGCCTCCTCCTCCTGCGCAACCTCGGTTGCGGCCACGGCGGCGGCGGCGGCGGGCGGGACCTGCTCCTCTTCGGAAGAGGCAGGCGCTGCTGCCTCGGTAGCTTCCTCGGGCTTCGATGGCTCCTCGGCTGCCTGCGCCGGGGGAGTAGGAGCGTCCTCGCTTGCCTCCTCCGCCTCCACTGCCGGGGCCGGCTCCTCGGGTTTTGCCGGCTCTTCCGCGGGCGCGGGGGGTGCTGCTTCTGGGACTGCCTCCTTCAACTCGGCCGCGGCCTCCTCTGCGGGAGCGGCGGCGGTGGCGGCAGGGGATGATTTCTGCTCCTCGGCCGACTTGGCGACGACGGCCGGCTCGGACTTCTTTGCGTTCTTGCCCTTGCTGCCCTTCTTGTCTTTCTTGCCCTTGCCCTTGCCCTTCTTCTTGCCGGGCGAGGCATCCTGGTCCTTGGACGGGGTTTCTTCCTCCTTCTCAGCGGCGGCGGCGGCGGCGGTCTCCGCCTCCGCGGCCTTCTCCAGCTTGGCAGCCTTCTTGGCAGCCGCCTTCTTGGCCGCCTTCTTCGCCTTCTTGGCGTCCTTTGTCGGCGTGGCCGGGGGCGACGACGTCGACGGGGATGCTACCGCTCCCTCGCCTTTTACGTCGGCCCCGGACTTACCGGCATCTTCCTCGCCATCCTCGTCCTGCTCTTCGGCATCTTCTCCTGTACTGTTGTCAATGCTGAACCTATACACGCCAGAAGAAGAGAAGGGAAGACGAGAATCACGAAGCAATATGCGTGACAAGGGGAAGGTATAGGGCGCTCACCGTCCTCTGCTTCGTCCTCCTCCTCCTCGGAATCTGACGGCTCGAAGTACTTGACATCGGAGAACCGGGCGACCTCGACCTTGTTGAAGTCGGCGAACTGCACCTCGGACCAATTAATGTTCGTCCGGACAGGACAGTACTGGACACCTCTTGGATCACTCATACTTGTGGGACCTCAGCCTGTGCCTGGTCGGGGAGAAGTTCGACAGCGACGACCGTAGGGGCGTCTTTATTATCCTCCATGCAGGTCTACTTCGGGTCTCGGGGAGCTGCAGATGGCTACCCAAGTGGATGGTGGGGCTTTTTTTTCGGTTTACCGTTGGCTTGAGGTATTGGGTATAGGGTATTGGGTATTGGGGGTCACGTTTCGTGGGCGTGAGACAAAAATCAATGGGTATAAAAAAGGGGGGGGGGGGTATCGTGTAAACAATCGGATGTTGCTTAGAAATTTGATATAGACGGGAAGCTTGATATGCAGCTTCTGCCGTCCGGTTGGGGTATGGATTGGGGAGACTTTCAGGGAAAAGAAAGCTATTGGGAAAATTGATTGATAGGAAAGGGGGTGTCTCTGGATCGGGGAGGATGTGGGAAGAAAAGAGGCCGGGCAAGCCTCACCTCATGGGCCCCACGATCATCCCACTCCACCCAGCAAAGACTGGGGCGCATAATACCTTGACGGCCGAGGCAGGGCCTTGACGTTCCAGTGAATCAATATCGTGCTTGGGATCGATTGGCCCACGCAACGGCATTGGCGCCACGTCGCAACGAGGTTGGCCAGCTGGCCGGGGGGAGCTATCACAAACGGACGTGGGTGGAATAGCGGCCCAACCACGCCATCACAACCGAAAGAGGCAAAATCCACGCAATGTCAATGGACAGAAGGCACTAAGAGAGAACAGGCGAGATTGGAGACCCAAGATGGAAATTGGAGATAGCATTGTAGAGACTAGTCAGAGGAGTCTCGCAAGGGTTGGTCCCAGAGACAGCGTCTGCCGATGATAACAAGCAGGGGTCTGGCTCCATCCTCAACCACAAAGATATCAGGGTCGCCGACCTCCCGCTCTGCGGGTCGGGTTGCCCTCCCAAGCTCAATGCCGGTTGATATAGCATTGGGTCACAACTCTCAGAGTCACAGCAGCTTTGGAATTGGCCCAACCGTTTTTCTGCACCCCCTACTGGTCCCTGAACAGTCGACTTGATGGGTCGGGCCGGGGTTCACCTCTCAGTCCACTAAGACTGCATACTATGCCATAGTACACAGGACTGGAGGTTGGGGTCAAGGGACGACCCGTGCCAGGAGGTGGGGTGTGTGTGCTGGTGTAATCCGGCGTCGTTGGCATAGTACAGCGGAAGTGCAATTCTGTATGCGTTCCAAATGTACGCATGTTCTCTCTTTTTTTCTTAAAGAGCTGCAACGTGGACGAGTGATGGCAGTTCGCTTGCGAAGATCCCTGCACGATCTGTCGGCCTAATGGCTGCGGGATATGCGGCACCCCAAGGAGAGACGTGGGGCAAGCAACAGGGTGATGAATTAGAGGCTGGGCTTGCCCGCCTGGGCAGACAGATTTTTTTTTGGTGAGATGTTCTGACATTTATGCAGCTTCGGCACCTGGGAAGCCAATTGATGCACTTTCCCGTGGCGTTATCGTGATCAATGAGGCAAATAATCGATATCATATTGAGAAAGCAGAGAGGGGAGCAGTAATGTGGAAGGTATGTTCTCGTGCTGTTAGGTGCTGACTTAACAGGCACTGCCCGGTAGCACCCGCCAGCTTGGAATGCAGGGTTCATGAGCCCATGATGAGCCCCACATTGAAGGTACCGCACTAACATTGAATAGAGCAACGTCGAATTGTTTGCCTCAAGTGCAGGGATACCTGTGTCACCTGCCATCAGTAGCGTCGCTGTTCCGTCTCTATAGATACATGCCTTTGAAGCTCAACCCATAACTTCAGATACGGTTCGGTTCGACCAAAAGGGAGAGGTTCCCATGGTTGGGCAAGAGGTCCGAATATCGGCAGCCAATTCGTGAGATGACGAAAAGAACAAGTTTCATGACAACACATTGGGTCTCGTGAGCGGCGAGCTGTTGGACCTGCCTGACCGCCACCTGCCAACCCCCATCGTTTTCCCAAAACGAACAAGGCAGGGCCGCTAAAATCACTAGCCTTCTTTTGTTGATGATACTCTGAATAACGTCGGCTACTCGTACATTGTATACCTGCTGCTATGTACTGTACATCGCCAGAGGAAATGCGTATAACTATGCGTTTCGCACAGGCGGAAAAGGCTGGACAAAATCCAACAATCAACCAACTACACAGTAGAGTGCCATCTCCTGCTCTTCATGTTGATGCCAATACCATCCTTGTGAAACGCCTCTGGCTTGCTTCCAGCCTCGGTCAAGTTCTCGAAAGGGCGGCCGGGGGAGTTCCCAACGGATGATCTCGCTTCTTCAATGTCAAATTAATCCACCACGAACGGTGTGGACTTGTCCTCGGCACTGCGGAGTACGGAGAGATTGGTCTTTGAATCGTCAAGCCCATGCTCACCAGCCATGCTCGAGTTTCAGGCACAGCACGCACTTCGAGCCCGTGGCTGGCAGCTTTCAGAGTAGAGCTACCAGCCCAAGCATTCTCGCGAACCTCCCAGCCTCTTCCTGCGAACTCTTTCATGATCCTAGTCCACCAAAAGAGCCGCTGGAAGGCTATTGTGTAATTCTTCTTGTAAATTCTCCACTCTTCCATACATCATCAGGTAATGCAGCCTCGAGACGCCAACGCCAACCCCTCGGAATGTGAAACGTGGGAGGACGAAGTGTAGATAACAATGTCGAGATGACGACGGAAGACAACAGGCAAAAGTCACGATCATGTCCTGACCCTCCTTGACATGACAACCTGTACACACCACGCAACCCATGAAAATCATGCAAATCAATCCGGCCCCTCCATCATCCATGATACAATGAATGATACCCTTGCCGAGCGAAGCGGCATCGAATGAAGCGAGTATCTCGGTCGTGCCCAAGCTCGATATTAGGACATGGCCATCTCCGCCTGCAGTTTCTGGAGCTCGGCCTCCTCGTCGTCCTCGACTGCTGCCGGAGTCTTCCCTGTCTTGACTATAGCGGCACCTGTTAGCAAACCCGAAAGAAAAGAAAGAAAAACGCGATGTTTCCAGGTCTCGGGTGGAGTTGGTCTTACTTGGTCCATCCCCTGCCGCCGGCAGTCTTTGGATCTGATCCGAGACTGGGACGGTGCCAGTGTTCAGCATCTGTTCGTCCAGCTGTTCTTGTTGCATAACCTCCAGTTCGGCATCCAGGTCTACGTCGTCGACTTGGTTGCCCACGTTGACGGTGTTCATAGCCTCCACGATCTCGTCGCTGAGCGCAATCTGATCCCGGAGTTTCTCCCTGCGAACATGCGCTGTTAGCCATGCCCACTGAAGTCGGCTTCCTAGATATCACATACATCGTCTCGTCGACCTTCTCCGGCGTGAGCTTGCCATGAATCACGGCCATAGCCTTGCCAGCCCGCTCCATCGCCGCCAGAGTCTCCCGGTTGATGTTCGCCGATTCGATGGCATTTATTTGCTGCTCGAGTGACGTGATCTGTCCTTGTGTCTGCTCAAGCGCGTGCTCGTGCTGTTTTTTGCGCCGCAGAGCCGTCTTCGCAGCTGCCGGATGGAGGCGTCAGTACTCGGCGCGATCCCACGCCGTCCGATAAGGGGGTTCAAACCTACCCGTCTTGTTTGTGTTTACGAATTTTCGTGCGATGCTGTCCTGGTCGTCCATCTGGGTCTGGAGATGCTTCTCCCGCTTCTGGAGCATGTCCAGCTGGGACCGTAGGGCGAGGATGGCATTCTTCGGTGTGTCCTTCTTGCTCTGTGCGGCACCTCCGCCGAACCAGCCCCAGATGCCCGACATATTTAAATCTTTAAATGGCGATGACCTAGCACGGATGCTTTGTGTCGTCGATGATAATAGATGGGAGCAGGTATCAGTGGAAGTCGAGAGATCGTTCGAAAGGTCGCAGGTGACCAAGTGATCGGGGCTTGGTGGGGTCGAAAGCCAAAGTGCCACTGGACCGGGTAGGTAAGTACCTAGGTCGTATCCAAGGTTGTTAGAGTGCCGAGATGCTTCGCCGCGAGTTGAAGGGAGAGATAGAGGCCAGTATCCGATGTTGGTCGCCAAGACGCAGTCACTGAGGACGATTTCGCGAGGTTGAAAGGGCAGCCTGTTAGGTGTGATGCAACTAGAGATGTTTGAGCGTTGCCTAGGTAGGTATCTTGGTTGCTGCCTCTGGCTGCGCACGCAGACGAACCCGAACTAGGCCGGAGTTTAACCGCTGCTACCCGTCATGTGATGCAACTCGAGCTTCGTGGGGGGTCCTATGTACCGTACCTAGGTACCCACTGAGGACGGAATGGAAGGAACAAAGCATGAACTTACCTCTCATATGCCGAATCCGACATCAGACAATTTCGAGATTATCATCATTTCCCCAGTGATAGCTCGGTCTTACTTTTCTGTTTGCTTGTCTTGTCAGGTGCAGCTCAAAAGACTAGGGTATCATCCTTGGTGGCTAGGTACCAAGTAGCTGAGACTCATATCTCTCTTCAGTCGCCTTACATGTCGAGCGGACCCCTTCCTTCTCAGATCTGTCTCCTCTCTGCCTTACCGGCCAAGCAAGTCGGAGACAAAGTCAGGTTTCTGGCTTGGTAAGATACCTGTTCAGTCACTGTTATCCCATGAGGCAGGACACCGATCTAGCCAATGATTGCGTGCCTGTTGCGCAACATGGTTATTCTCGACCATCATGGAAGCAAACCCGCTGATTTGGCTGTAGCGTAACGTCCTATTCGACCGCATCTGGTACCTTGACATTGCAGCATCCAGATGACCGAGACGCCAATGTGAGTGCGCTGGTCGATGTTCAGCCAGTCCTCGAGAAACTGGGGGCAGAGCAGACTCGCGTTGGGGAATGGGTGAACGTTATCGGTTATGTTACCTCGCATTCACCCTCATCGCCAGGAAAATCAACGATGCGCTACGGCCCATCAGTTCAAATTCAGGCGTTACTTCTCTGGTCTGCCGGACCGTTGGACATTCAGCAATACCAGATCGCTGTTGAAGCTTTGCAGAACAAGCGAGCCGGTCCAGCTGGTCAGCCCAAGCCAGCTTCAACTGCACTAGTCCACGAATAAGCTCCGTGTCTTGTCTTGGATAAACCACCTTCTGCTTCCTCTCTTGCTGTCGGGACAAGTGACGCGCCGCTGCTGCTTGCAGGCGTGGTTGGAGTGGACAGATATGCCCGAACAGAACGAGCTTCGTGAAGGGTCCTAGCCACTATGAATCTACCTACACACATGGAACCACACGGAGCCAGAGGAGAGGCTGAGCCAATTTCCACACTGCTACAACATATGCTGTGGGACAGCTTGACGTTGACTGACATGTGAAATTGGGGTTGAACAGCCGAAACATTGGCCCAGTTCCTCCAAGGACTGGAACCCATCAAGGAGCCAAGACCGCTCGGGGAGACTTGTTGCCAGTCCGTTCTGTGGTCGGCGGTTGTGCCGCCACGGGCTGCAAAAATCTTGTGCTTCGCATTGATCGTTCGAGCGCGCCTTATTGGCTACCCCGAAGGAGACCGAGGGAATAGATGGATTCGTCTCCGACAGCAGATGTTAGACGTCGACGAGGCTATCCCGACTCCCTAATCTGTACAATCCCTTATTAACCACCGGGCCTGAGCTACACAAAATCTTGTTTCTCTTGCCTCGCCCTATCATTTCCATCGAGTCGGTCATGCACAAGCAACAGTGACTGATTGACTGATTGATTGAATTAGGTATGTGGACCGCCCAAAATTCGGTTAGCTCTCGTCCAGGGTGCAGAATCGACTTAAATATGCACACAACCACTGAATATGACTAGGAAATGCGGTGACCATTGGATTCCAGCCCGGCCAGATGGCACAACACTGCTGGTCGAAATCAACGCCCGCTTCTCACCATGCAACCACAGATTCGATATCTCGCATGCTCCGTCAGCGGTTAATGTCAGGCATTCATGCCAGTTATTCGTTCCTTTCAAACCCTGGCTCGACCCTTCCACCCAATTAAGTCCCCCGGGCCAGTTGAAGGAAGGCAACGCGATGTGCTTTCCGTGTCTGCATGGAGCTCCATGCCGTCTGCTGTGTTTATGTTGTGGCCGACTGTCCTCCTACAGCAGCCGAATGGGGTAACTTCTTCCCCCGTGGCGTATCAGCTCCAGTCTCGCCGTCTCTCGTCATGCCGGCGACATGTATCGTTCCGCCAACGATCGTCTCTGCTCTTTCTCGACAAGTCGCCGGATACTGCCTTGGAGATTAGCACCGGTTGGTGGAGTGGGCGCTTCAGCGGCTTCTCCGGCTTGGTCTGGGCCCTGGCGGCAGCCTGCCGTTCCCACATTTCCTTGGACTTCACGCAGATGTCGTCGATTTGCTCCTGGGCACGGTGGGGTTAATGGTACGGACACGGCGAGGGTCGAACCAGCGTCTCACATCTGTCAAGCACGGTCCCGGGGTTGTGATCAGGAACCCATCCTCGCCCTACCACGGTTCAGTCAGCTAGATTAGGAGGCATCACGACGACGGGGGGAGTGCTGCTGACGTCACGAGTGTAGGGTCTAACAGTCGCTCCAGGCCCAAGATAATATTGCAGCTCTTGGGTAATGACCTTCTTGTGGATGTCGAGGTGTGGGATCCAGTATTTGTTCATTTCCGAAGAGGACGACATTGCTATGTCGTGACCACGAGAGCCCGCCTGAAGGATCGAGAGAGGGAGTCCAAAGTCTAGGTTCTCCTGCCAGATATCGCGGGCCAAGGGAGATATTTATATGTCTTTAGTACGACCCCTGACTCGAGAGGCCAGTCAAATCCGACTTTGAATTGGTACGGAGAGACAGAGAACGGACACCATCCCAGAGCAACTTCTGACGGGCTTCATGCTGTCGTCTATCTAGCGACACACCGCCTATGGTTTTATCTGAGCCACAGCAGCACAATGCACTCACTCACACACACACACACACACACGCACATGTTGTAAGCATTATCCGTGTATGTCAAATGGTGCAAGTGGTTCCCATATGCCGCTCAAGGTCGTCAATCTCACTGGCCCACTGGCTGGAGGGGTCATGTCCGCCTCACTTTTTTTTCTCGCCCTATCCTGGCAATCCTGTTCTCGTTTGGAGCCACCCGGATTTTCCCACCACACTTCGACGTATCCGGGCATCCACAGAAGCGCCCAGTCCCAAGTCCGACAACAATCTCATCTTTCACTACATTGGACACGTATAATATCGCCGTTCTTCCTTTTTCCCGTGTCCAATGACCCGATTGATATGCAGGCCATAGGCTAGCGGATGGTATTTCGCGGAGGATCTGGCGGGAAGTTAGTAGGGCCGTGGTTGAACAAGCTTATCACTCGGCAAGGCAGGTTACCTTCCAAGCTACTGTACGATCTCTGGCGAGATTCGGCGGTTGCGTAGCGGCGTATGCCCGGGGGTCCCGCACTCGGGCCACAATCTCATCACTGTCACGCTCCTCCCTATTTCGGTCCCCAAGTCCTTGGGTATCCCCCAGCGAAGCGGACTGTCGATCCCTTCGTCCCTGTGGAGGAAACCGATGCCATTTCAGGCGTTGAATAGCTCGACAGTGGCGAAATTTTGTCCCACATCCAAGCCCTGCTTCCGTCACACGCTCAAGTGTGCTTGCCCGAGACCGGGTCTCCATACGGAAAAAGCTGTTCCTACCATGGGGTCCAGGCCTGGCACGCGCATGCCCCATACCCCTGTCGCTTTCGCCTCAGGCGCCGATCACCTGCGCCCAAGACAAGAAAGCAAACAAAAAGGGGAAAGTGAGTTGAAATCGAAAATGCACAGGCACGCGGCTTTTAGCCCTGCTGCCTCTCCTTGATCGACAGTCGTTACCCCAAGCCTAGCGGTTGGGTGTGTCCTCTCCTCCACACCAAAGCAGAAGTGCAAGTGCAAGTCACTAGCTGTCCGTCCTAGGCACAATCACAACGAGCTTGGGTTCAGTTGGGCGGGAGGAACCAACTCGACTTCCTACCAGGTTGATCCGCATGAGAAGAGCCTCCCCTACGCCGGTTCGGAACGCTCCTCCTCTCGCGGCTAGATCTTCTGGGCAACACCTTTTCCCTCCGCTGGGCTGAGGCGGGTGCCAGAGATTGAGCAGAGTCGCATCCTAGGGTAACCCACAGATGTGTCCATTACAGCCTCATTCCCTCGGCTTTTACGGTTTCCTTTTTGAGCCAGATCTAAGTCCTTGATTGGTGTGGGTATCCATCCCTGCTGGGCGAATGTCTGACCCCAACCTCACACGGTTAATGCTACTGTACTCTCGCGTCAGGGTGGACTGGGGAGGTGTACTGGGATGTTCATCCCCAGTCATGTTATGCAGATCATTGGGTTCTTCTGGCCGTTGGTGCAGCGCGCCCCTTTTCCCCCGGGGTTTGTATTGTTAAACGTAAGTGAGGCGAGCTTAAGTATCGAACTGTTCCTGCTTGGAGTGGCTCTTCTTACCATGAATGACAATTATGTTGGAAGCAATGTGAAGAAACAGCTTCAACTTTAAGCGCCCCTGACCTATGCTGCTTAGAGGATGAGGCTTATGCCAAGGTTATCCCATATATATCCATGACCTCTCGTATCTGGCGGTGCCTCTGCTAGGTCGTTTACCTTGGAACTGGGCATCCCAGCTAGGAGAGCAGCCAGCACTGGGACCCCCGCAACCCAGCTGTATGTTCGACAGAGTTAGGACGCCATGTGCAAGATTTATTGGTCGTCTTCGTGAAAATGGGGCTTACAAGAAGCAGGAGTGTGGAGCTTTCTGTCCTCGGTCGGGGTACATATCACATTGGCTTCATGCCGGACAAGTTTCAAACGGAGCATGTCCATGTCATTTTGGAAACTGACATTTCTCCAACACTGTCGTAACTAGCTTGCCTGCTTTGCTGTTGAGTTAAGGCGTCTATCTTCACGTAGGCCTCGCCCTACACTTGGAATGGCCATCCTCTGCGCTAGACCCGTCACAATCCTGGCAGGCGTATGCCAGATTTGTGTGGCTATGGCGCCTACAATGTTCGTCACATGGTGATCGCCTCGAATGAACCGTTCATGCTGAGGACAGGCAATGTCTGAGTGATATGGTAGAGACCTGGAATGACTGCCACAGAGGCTAGACTGGAGGACCGCCCATTCCCAGCCAACAGAAGGAACCTAGCTTAGTATGAGACCTTGATCTCTAAGAGGAAGGGCCCGAGGAAAGTCTGTTCTTAACTCAGGACCGCTACTCAGATTTCCCCGGGGCTCATCTCCATGTTATCTTAAAGTACCGACAATCACATTTAGGTAGTCCAAATTGCACTCATTCCTTGCCCTGAGTGTCGCTATAGCATTTGGTAATACTCCTGGTTGTCCTCAACGGCAGGCTTTACATCGTCACAGATGACCACGGCTGGGAGTACTGCTTGGGAAAGCGGTTCTTTGCTGTATGTGGACAGCCACGCCGGGCTTTCCTCAACGCCCCGGTAAACAAAAAGAGGCTCATTACTCTCCTTCACCGGGGCCAGACTCTCAGACATTTACGTGGATAACAAAAACGTTGGAGTAGGCTATTCTCGCCCGGCATCCACTGGATCACGGAGGTACGGGGCCAAGTCGTGCCCGAGCAGGATGAATATATATATTCTGGGCTCAAGGCCCCCTCGCCAGCGTCTCACCGTCAACTCGAAACTGCAATGGGGCCATGTAAGTAACCGGGCAAACAAACGAACATCTTATGGCCCCCTTCAGAAGCGAAATGGGGCAGCACCACATATGGGCGCGAATATGGACCCTCCCAAGCAACGCCCGCCAGCATCAACCAGAAAGCCACCGTTCCATCCGCAACCAATCTCGAGAAACCCGCCCTGGACAGGCAGTAGGACACGCGGTTGGTGCAGCGGCGGTGGCGTGTATGGGGGTGGCACCGGCGGGAAGAGGTGCGGTTATACCAACAAAGGGGGAAGGTCAGTCATACCCGATGGTCTCTCTCGGAATAGACCACAACAGCAGCGGTGGTAGAGGACTGGAGAATAAGTCTCCCGAGAGGGAACAACGTCGTCTTTACGCAGCTTCCCACGCGAGGGAGCGGGAAATCCCGCAGGGAGATTGGGGAGAACACCTGTCGTAAGCCCCCATCCGACCCGACCAAGTTCCATCCATCCATGTCAGAGACCGGTTTATTTCCTGCTCAAGATGGGCACCATGAAGTACCTCGGGTCTGCTCAGGTGGAACATCCGGGCGCAGAAATAGGGAAGGAAAAACATAGGATGGCGTTCAAATTTATTCAACTGGGTGAGGTAACATGGAATTATCCCTCCCCCCCGACAGGCTCCCCTCCAAGCAGCGTGCCTTCCCCTACGAACTGGCTTGCGCGTCTCGTGGGAGTACCTACCTAGGTACTTACTTACTTAAGTGATCCTAATCTTTTCTGCTTTGCCCCCGCCCGAACAAACACTCATAAGCCCTCGCGGTTCGTGGCACCCTCGCCTCACAAGCTGCGTCACCCCATAGGAGAGAGGCAACGCAATGCCAGGCAGGCAGTCCGTAAATCCCCGCCCAGGCCTCAAAATTAGCCAAGCTAGCAGCTTCTAGTAGGAGGGAAGGAATGTTCCGTATAGTGTCTATAGAAGAGGGAGAGGGAAAAAGGTACATCGATGTCCCCCAACCCGCAAAAGCAAAGCACCCGTTACTCCCCCGTTCCGAAACTCCGTACCCATGTGCCCCCGGAAGAAGGATTTTTTTTTTTTTTTTGAACAGCCACATGGCAAGTACGGGCCCAGGAGATGATGTCCAGTCCCCGTGGCTCCAACGAGACAAACATGGTGGTGCCTAGACCCACAAGCAACCTGCCACCCCTGAAACGGGGGCAGTGGACCTACGAGGAATCGAACGAGACTCTCACCCCCCACCTCCTCCCCGGGGTCTGATATCGGATCACCGGATCACTAGTTAAGTCACTAGTTGAGCATCATCCCTTAGGCCATCTTCTGTCTCTTCGCATCCGGTCCACCAGGTCCCATCGCCCCCGCCCCGGCCGCCTGGCCAGGGTTATTCTTATTATTATTCGACACGTCCGCCAGTGGCGCCCTGGCGGCCCCGGGACCACCACCGGGCCCGGCGCCCTCGCCCGGGAGCTGCCGCTTGTGGATGATGGTGGGCGGGCGATACTGCCCGCGGTTAGCCAGGGGGCTGCCCGGCCCGCCACCCGGCGCGCCGATCCGCCGCGCGTGGTCGAGCTGCGGGTTGATGACGTTGCCCCTCCCGGCTGCCGGCTGCGGCGGGGCGGGGCCGGAGGCGCACCCCACCATGCCGGCCCCGGCCCCAGCTCCGGCTGTGGGTGCGGCTCCTGTGGCGGGGCCGGCTGCTGTGCTACCGCCGGACTGGGTCGAGGACGGGGCGACGTGCTGGCCATTCCTGGCGACGGGTTTGGACTTTGTGTGGTCGATCCCGGGGGTCTTGCGGATCGAGGGGCTTTCGGCGCGCGGGTTGAAGATCTGACCTGCCTGCGGCACAACCTGGCCGCTGTTGAGTGACTCCTCGGGTAGCTGGCTCACGGCACGGGCGGAGAAGAAGCCAACCACCTCCCCCCCACCTGCTCCGGGTACACTCGGTCCTGGAGGCTTGGGCGGCGTCTGGTGGGGATGGCCGTTCTGGTTGGGTCCGTGGCTGGTGTAATTGCCGTTCTGGTGAGGCTGGGGTCGATTTTGCTGGAATTGTTGCTGTTGAGGTCGAGATCCGCTATGGCCCGGCTGATTCTGTCCTCCACTAAATTGGCCACGGGGAGTGGGTTGATTCGGAGTTTGAGGTTGTCTATTATAAGTGCTTCCCGCTGAGACGGATCTCGCCAGAGGTCGCGACGGCGGTTGCATAGATGGAGCGTTAACCGCTTGTTGATTTGGAGTCTTCTCGTTTGAGGAGGTCTGGACGGAGTTTGCAAGCGTAATTTCATCAGGGTGATCGTCTTCGGTGACACAGAAATCTACTTCGTCAAACTCTAGGGCATTTGTCAGTTCTAGCAGGCAGAGACAGATATGTCGGACCAACATACCTCCAAATATGTCTTCGAATGAATCACTTGCTGTTCCATAAAGTCAGCACGTACTCTATCCGTAGGACAGATAGTTTCTCACACTTGGCTTGAGACACATCTGCATCCGCTTTGAGTGCCTCGATTCTCGCCGCCTCGGCCTGTTCCTTCTTGATAAAATCCGCATGTCGATGCAGACCAGTTTCGTTAAACTTGGTCGGCTCGACCTTCATTTTAGTCACCTTGGCGAGGTAGGTCTTGTCATAGATGCAGTTACCCAGGACGTTTCCGAAGTTCCTCAACGTCCTCTTCAGCGCATCCGTGGTCCCCTCCTTCTTTGCCTTCTCAAACGCCGCCGCCTTCCCCTTGCAGTTCTCAATGTGCCCGTACCCGATGTCCTCGTGGAAGGTCCCGTCCCGCAGCGTGACCCGCACGATGACCGACAGGCCCAGGCTGATCTTCATGGTCTGGGGGTTCTCGTCGACAAAGTCCACCTGGATGTTCTGGATGCTGGACGACCACCCGTTGAACCCAAAGACCTCGTTGGCCAGGGCGATGCACTTCTCCGCCGCGATGTAGTGCACCTTCTGGCCTGAGGGGCCGGCCCGCGCCGAGATGTATTCAGGTCCGAGCTGTTTCTCGAGTCGGTTTTGGAGAATGGAGACCTCCTGGGCGGTGTATTCTGATATGCGCCTCTTAGGCTCCTCGAATGGGTTCGCAATGCTGACATGCTGCTCGCCGGGGCTGGACAGACGAACATCAGATTAGTATGGCGTCGTGGCTGGAAGACGCGGTCGTAGAGACGGGATGTAAACATACTGAGGCATCTTGAGAGTGAACTGTACTTTGGTCTGTCATGAATCGATAGCAACCGGGCACCTACAAGATTAGGTAGGTAATTGCTCTGCCACTGAGGGATGAACTCGGGTTCGCGTTGCAATGGCCGAGATGTGGTCCTCCCAGGTAGCTGGGAGACAGACCGCGACGAAATCGCGTCGCGAAACAGGCAGTCACGTGGTATGGCGCAGATGGACGCCACACCTTGGGTGTGGCTGGATTAACTTTACCTTTAACTCAGGAGCTGAATGGTGGGGCCAATGGAGCCCAATGGAATGGAATGTTTCCCCTCCTTCCACTCTGCCCCACCAGCCTGATGACCATATCTTCCATGTCTAGCATCGGTCACGCTGGCAACGGAATAAGGCGTTTAACAAGGCTGATTGGGAGGAAGAAACTCATGGTTATTGACTGGTGATAGTGATCAATAATCCTGCTTGTGTCTACCTTTTTAGCCTCACCCTTCCTTCATCTGATTGTCCGGTATACGGGTGCAACTGATGGTCTGTGTGCCTCCATGATTCATGAACTCGCTCATTGAACTTACTCATTATGCTGTCATCCGAGCGTGACAGTCGGGTAAATGCAGAATAAACTCTTCTCAAGTTCAAGCCACGAGAAACAAAATCTTCTCAATCGGGCAACTCCCGTCGATCAATCTTCCGAATTCTCGGTCAAAGCAATGTCGATCAGGGGCCCCAGGTGCTTGATTTCCTTGAGGAGGACACAGAACCCGGAGTTTTGCTTGTGGTTCAGCCAGATTGCCAACTTTGAGGGAGAGCTCTTGCAAGGTAGGAGCCTGGAGTTGATTTGTTCTTACATATTCTTGCAGGCGGCTGTACTTGGGCTTGGTTACGCATCATATCGTACTGTTTGATGATTGTCTATCCCGGTCTTGCTTGGCAACTGGGGTAGAAAACCGAATTCCTAGAGTACTATAGTAAAATGACCCTGCCATTTGATAACAAACAACAACCAAGGGCCGTGCGTATCCCAGTTCACAATGCGAGAACTAGGAGTAAAAATCCAGAGCACCTTGAGCTCCATTTCAAGAGTTTCCGAACAATTCGGCTGTCGTGCCATCCATATGCTCCTTGACTAGGTACGTGTATGTACTGTAGCGAAAAAAGAAGAGAAAACGAGAGGCGTGTGAGAGAAAATGCGACTGCCAAATGGCATCTGATGACAAGACCACCATGGAAAGAAACAACCCAATGCCCCAGAGCACGATGTCGAATCTCAAAGATCGGAAATGAGAGAAAGGAAGGAGATACCAATATGGGATATCATCATTAACAAAACGCCGCGTTGACATGTGCCCGAGTTCCAAAGTCTATGCAAGCCATCCGATGCCCGAAAGAAATAAGAAGGTCGTTTCTGCGTCCGCTGTGTCCCAGCAGTGGTCGATCCGTATGACGCGTCAGGAGACGGCGACTATTACCTTGGCCCTACCAGGGGCCAACTCTGACGGGTGAGCCGTAGGTGCCGTTCATGAGTTGGTTCAGGATCGAATTCTGTTCCGAGAGCCCGCCTGTCGAACTGTTCTGGTTCGAGTTGGCCCATCCAGCGTTTGTCATCGCATTCATCGCTGCCTCCAACTTTCCTCCGGACTGCTGGTGGTGTTTTGCCAATATCTGGTCCCATCCGCCAGTGTGTAGAGCGAATCCCCCACCTCTCTTGGCAGCTTCCGTAATAACCAATGCCCAAGCTCTCGAAATCTCGTCATATGAATTCTCTTTATGATATCGGTATGACTGACTCTCCCAGTCTGGTAGCCCGTGGATCAGTTTGGTGGCACCATCCAGATACTGCAGCGAGACATTCGTCTGGTTCTCGGTCGGGGGAAGATACTGTGGAGTAAAATCGGAGACGGCGTCGATGAGCGCTATCAACGGTTGCTTGACTCGGTAGTAGGTGTAGTCGGAGCTGGATTGGCCGTACGGTACGGCCGCGCGTAGCCTGTCCTGGTATTCCCCAAGAAGCTGAAGAGCCGAAGCAACTGACGGTCGGGGAGCCCCGTTGACAACTTCCTGGCCGATATCTGCGTGTCGTTCACAGATGGTCTGAAGCACGGCCCGTAGCTGCGTGTTGTCGAGGGTTTCTAGCAATCGTGGAAGGGACAGTGGTCGGCCGGCCAAATCATTCGCTGCCCGGACTTTCTTTGATGGTCTTGCGAGGTGCCTCGAGGAAATTGCGGGCGAATTGTGGGGTGAGACAGACATCTCGTCGGCATCTTCTTCGGCTTTTCGTTTCCTGGATGACATGCTGTACGGCGATTCTGAGAGTGTTAGCTCGTCAGGCCAAACGCCTCATGGGCTACAGGAACCAAGACGCCAGGTGGAGTTCCGGCGAACATATAGAATGACCAGGGTATGGATTGAATGATGACGCCTGTGGCCATGCAAATAAATAGGGACTTACGAGATCGTCGGGGAGAGAGGCGGGCGGTTTCGTGCTGGTGAGGAAAGAGCGGTGGCTGAGGTGACAGCAAGACGTTCATATTGGCGGCAAAATGGTGTTTAACGAGCAACAGATAGGATGCAAGCCGATGGTCCCCTTGTTGCTCCTTCCCAAGGTTGACAAAGCGCAGCGATGGAAGAGGTGGGAAAGAGGAGATGCAGTTGGGTGTGTTTGGATGGAAGAAGAGGAAAAGAGGAGGTTCTGGTGCTTGCGTTGGCGCTGGCGCAGGCACCTCGTTGCTGAGGCAAGAACAAATGCACCCCACCCAAATCCAATCGAGGCTAGCCTGGGGTGTGCGTTGTGTGATGTTTTGTGTGTCTCTGGATGGATGGAGGTGGTTCGGTCGGATAATGTGTGTTGCCAGGTTTCCGTGGCACACTTTTCTGCAGGCTGCCTGTATTGTTACTTGGTCACCGTCAACCTTGGGAAACAAAGCGGTCAAGGACTCGGGTGCTGGAGCGGGATAAAACAACAGCGAGTTGGAGCTGGAGTTGGGGAGAAGGGCAAAGGAAATTGTTAGGATTGGTTGTCTGGCACGTGAGGAAATCCGACGAAGCGGGCCTTGGCAATTGGGGCCCAATGCGGGACTCCTTATGGAATAATTCCCGTGATTAGGTACCTAAAAGTATCCTGGGAAACACCACCCTGATACCGCGGCTCTCTACCTATACAGTACCTACCACAGTAGTATCCACGTCAGCGTCCCACTGGGGGGTTTTGAAAGTCTACGCATCCGACTTGCCAGACTGAATACCTATTGGCTGCCTAGGTACCTACCGAAGGTAAACAATAACTTGTACCACAGTAAGTACGGATACGAACCTAACCTTAAAGATGAGGTCACGCAGGCAGATTAGATAGGTAGACACGGTACGGATTAGAGTACATAGGACAAAATAAAGTATGTATTGTACTTTCTGCCCCGCACCCCTGCTCCTTATCGCTTATCAGACCGGATACGGCTTCAAGAAAAATTTCGCCTGCACCAATTGCTTGAGGGAGTTATAAGATAAAAAGGGCGGTTTAGACTCACCCGGCCTTGTCTTTGGTCTAGATTATACCTTTTTAACCAAGGCCGGCATCTGCACCCAATTCAGCAGACCATGTCTATCCAACACTCGGAGGACCCTCCCAGGGGAGGGGACGCCCCCTCGTCTCCCACCGCCTCCTCCAAGAAGCGCAAGGTCTCCCTCGGCGAGATCGAAGTCGACCTCACCCTCCCCGAGCCGCCCTCCAAGAAGGCCCGCCGCGCCCTGAAGAGGGGTAAATCCGACTCGACGAACCCCCCGGCCGCCGCCTCCGCCGACGCCGCCGCCGAAGCCGCTGCCAGCAAGAAGGCCGCCAGCAAGAAGAAGCCCACCTCGGCACACGGCGTCTGGATCGGCAACCTCCCCTTCACCGCCACCAAGGCCGACATACGCAAGTGGCTCATTGACAACTCCGGCGGCTCCATCACCGACGACGCCATCACGCGGGTGTACGTGCCCACGACGAGGCCCGAAGCCGACAAGAAGAAGAAGCACGATAAGAAGAAGCCGAAAAAGAAGGGGGCCGAGGAGGTGGACGAGGACGAGGACGACAACGACGACGATGATGACGACGAAAAGTCGAAGACAAAGGCGGGGAACAAGGGCTTCGCCTACGTCGACTTCACCACCTACGCCACCACCGTCGCCGCCATCGCGCTATCCGAGACGTCGCTGGGCGGCCGCAAGCTCCTCATCAAAGACAGCAAGAACTACGAGGGCCGGCCCGCGCGGCCTGAGGGCGACGACGCGGGCAAGCAGCCCGACGTCGGGAAGAACGGTGCCTCCGCCGCCGGCGCCGGCGCCACCACCGCCAACGGGGCGCCACAGTCCCGGTCGACCAAGGTCTTCGTGGGCAACCTCGGCTTCAAGGCCAGCGAGGACGAGCTCTGGGCCCACTTTGAGAAGTGCGGCCCCATCCGTTGGGTCAAGGTCGCCACCTTCGAGGACACGGGCAAGTGCAAGGGCTTCGCCTGGGTCAATTTCCAGGAGGCCGAGGCGGCCGCCTGGGCCGTCCAGGGGTTCGTCAGGATCCGGCAGACCGTCGACACGGTCGAGGACTTTATGGACGAGGAGGAGGGTGCCCGCGGCGGCAGCGGCGGCGAGGCCGAGCAGAAGGAGGAGGACGAGGAGGAGGAGCGGGAGGAGGGACAAGGAGTGGACGGACGCGGCGACGTCGACGGCGACGGCGAGAAGAAGAAGAAGCAGCAGGCCAGGGACAGGAAAGGCAGCAAGGGGGAGGGCCCGCCCCAGGCCCCCCGCAAGACCAAGACCCGGAAGTGGTGGGTCAACCAGCTGCACGGCCGGACGCTGAAGATCGAGCTGGCCGAGGACGACAAGGTGCGGTACAAGAAGCGCTTCGGCAAGGGCGGCGCCGGCGCCGCCGCTGCCGCTGCCAAGGCGCAGGGCTCCTCCCGCCCGGCAGCGGGGGCAGCAGCAGGGACCTCGGCCCCTTCGGAGCAGCAGGCGGTGGTTGGCGATGGCGGTTCGGCCAAGGAGCAAAGAGCCGAGAAGAAGGAGGTGGATCCTCTCAAGGTTCACCATGATATCAACGTTGCTCGGCTTACTGGCGCGATGGTGAAGTCTCAGGGTGTCAAGGTTACGTTCGACTGAGGCGGTACTATTTTATGACGACGGGGGAATACCCAAGAGGCTGTCTGTCTATCGTTCATTTGGGAGAATCTACGTTTTATCACGGCGTGATCAGTGAAAAAGCGACTCAGGCTTCAGCAAACCATTACCCGTGTCACCCTGTTACCAGGACCGTAGCTAAGGTGCTAACTTACCATGAAAAAGCCTTTTCCGAACTTCTAAAGGAAGCGAACTACTACAATCACATCCGCAAGCGCGTGGTACAGGTCATGGTGACAACCTCGCAAAGAACGATTCCCTAACCTAGGACCTAACTAGACTCAATCTGACAATTTGTGGCCGGGTGGGACGGACGTGTGGTGCGCAACTCGGATAGTTCTGCCTTCCGCATGCTAGATTGCGGAGATCAACTCCGATGATCGCCGAGACCAATTCGGAAAAAAAAGACGTTGCAAAGCAAGATGTTCGTGAACCAGCCAGTAGCTAGGAAGGAAAGAAACCCAGAGCCCAAAGGAGAGGGGAAGAACTACAGCCAATACAGCTAGCATATGGGACTTGCCCGTGATGACGACCCGGCCCCTTGCCATATCCTATGACACCTCATGTTCAGGGGTGGAAAACCCGTGTAATGCCGTACGCCAGTTGGGTTTTTAGGAAGTTGGAAGTTGCGCACGCCTCCTACTTCTTGCGAAGCTTCTCCTGGTCCTCGAGATACTCTTCATCCGAGGCATCAAGGATGTCATACTCCTCATCGGTCAGCAGACCTTCGTCGGACTCGCCTTCAGCCCACTCGCCATGCTCGTCGCACTGATCGTAATCCTCCTCGTAAGTTGGGACTGCCGCGGCCTTGTGGTCCTCGTAGGTGCTGGCGCTGGGGGATTCCTTCTCAAGCTTGGGGAAGATCATCTGGCTCTCCTTGGTCGCAGGCTCACTTGGCTCGGCCTCGGCCACTGGGAGAGGGGTCTCTTTCGCAACGTCCTCCACCTGCTCTACCTTGACCTCGGGGGCCTGGACGCTGACGTCGCACCAAAGCCGGGGACCAAACTTGATGCCATCGCTGGTGGTCAGTCGCCAGTAGGAGATGACCCTCCCTGGCCGAGCCGGGGTGCGAAGGGCCACAGTGAACGAGAATGCCTGGTTAGAGGGGAGGCCCTCGGTGCAGACGGTGGACTCGGAAGCAGAGCGGAGCTCTCGAGTATCTGCGGGGTGGTTGGGGTCCACATGGCCCATGTAGTCGCCGCCGACAAACTTGGCAGAGCAACCTGGCGGGAACGGGACATCGCCCTTGTTGCGGATGACCCAGGTCTGCTCAAAGACGTGATTGGGTGGCAAGACGGTGCCGTCGGCAACGGTATCGCTCTCGTACGCGGCAACTAGATCCTTCTCACAGAGAGTAGCCTTCTCAACAGCCTTCTCAGTGGCCTCCTCGGTAGCCTCGGACTCGGGCTGCTCTTGCTTGATCTCCTCCCGCTTGGCCACAACAGGTGTGGCCGGCTCAGACGGTTGCATGTCAGCAACGGTGACGACATTAGTCTGGACGATCTCCTGGTGCTGCATATTGGTCCCGGTGGCGCGAGAGCTTGTAGTCGCCTGGTGGCACGGGAAGTGGTCACCCATGGTAGGCATCGGCTGGCCATCCTTGTGCTTGCCGGTGGTGGTGACGGTGACCTCCTTGACCGGGGTCTTGAACTTGATCAGGGGGTGAGTCTTGTTGTGCGTGTTGGCAGGGCTGGCCTCGCAGCCGGCACAGAAATCGGTGTCGAAGCAAACGGCGCACTTGTAACGGTCGCCAATAATGTAGTCCACGCCGGGATGGGAAGAAGGGCCAGAGTTGCAGAGAGGGCCATCGCAGTAGATGCCGGCATGCCTGGCCAGGCTGAAGATGCTAGGACCGGGCTGCAGAGGTTCGTAGATGGGGACGAACCGGTGGTTGGGGTGTATGAATGAGGCATCTACCACACACCTCGAGCAGTAATCCCAGTCTGGGCAGTCGAGACACTTGTGGCGGACGCCCCGAACCTCCCTGTTACAGCCATCACAGATGGCTTTGTGCACCTGGTTGCGGCCGGGCGCTAGGCGCTGGCTGACTGCGGGCACCAGGGGGTGACCCTCGACAACGACGACGAAGCCGTGCTTGGGATCGTGTCCATGCTGGTTCTTGCCGAAGCAGCCCTTGCAGAGATCAAAATCCTCACAAGCAGTGCAGTGGACAAAATCGTGGTCGGGCAACTCCCGCACACATGAGTTGCAGGTGCGCATGTTGTGGCACAGGAGGGTCTCCAGTGCTGGCACTGGCACCAGTCTCTCGGCCGAGCGAAGGGGAACAGGCCGCTCCTCCTCCTCCCAGCAAGGCTTGGGGACCTTTGGCTTGGGAGAGATTGTTTCAGTGGTGCTGTTGACGACAACTCCGTTCCTCACGAATCGCTTGAGAAGCCAGTGGTCGGGGCTGTAGCAGGTGATGCCCCGGTCAATACAGTCCTGGCAGAGGTCGAAGTCGCCATCATCACAGGTCGAGCAGTGATAGTGGGCATCAGGGATGGTCTTGTCACAGCTGTTGCAGCACACCGCATAGGGGGGGCAAGGCACAGCTGGAGCAACAGCTGGGGCGGGTTTCTGGCACACGGCTGGGACGGCGGGGACCTCGCACATCTTCTTGGGCTCGACAAGAGTCTCAAGGGAGGGCCGGTCAGCAGGCTTGTACCGCAGAGCGGCAATGGAAGCCCTGATCGCCTCGAGACGCTCTTCTATCTGCTTGTGATCATGCTCAATCGATGGGATGGATCTGGGCAGTATGGCGTTATCAGCGGGGCCGCATTGCACTGGCAGAGGCTGAACTGACGGCTGCTGAGATGGAGCCGTGGACGAGGTTGGCAAGAAGACAGGCTTGCCGGCCTTGTCAACCTTGTCAGCCTTGCCGGTATCCTTGGGCTGGGCAGGTGCTGGCGACTCGGGCTCGTCTTCGACTGAGGCTGGCAGTGGGCCTTTTTTCTCTTCTTGGCTCTTGTCCTTGGTGGTAATGCGGAGCTTAAGCTTCTGCTTCGCCTTGGCAGCTCGATAGAGTTGCTTGTAGACAGAGATGTTGTTCGGGTCGAGGACGACATATGTGGCAGCAGAGTCGGAGTATCTCTCGATGATGCACTCGGTGCCCTGGGGGATGCCCAAGACGTTTCGGAGCTGGAGGCGGCCGAGATTAGCAGCAGATCAACCAAACGCAAGCGGGTAAACCAAGCTCAAAATGTAAGAGACAGGAAGTATCGTGCAATATTGTGGTATACAACGTACCCTGTCCTCAAAAAGGGTCGGACTAAGATCTCGGAGTGGGAGCTTGAAACGGCGAGTGCTGCCAGCTATGTTCACTTTGAGGCCGACCAGCAAATCCAGGTGGGATGCTGAGCTCGCCATTGTCGCGGTTTTTCTATTCTTTTTTGAGACTCTGCTCGGCTTTGAGGTTGCTGGTCAGTCTTTTGAGAGGAAGTAAGAGGGGAGGCAGGAAGGAGGATGCAGGTTGCAGGTTGGAGGAAGTCGAGGAGGAGGCGGAGGCGGCGTGGTGCGGCATGGGTTTGGCGGACCAGATGTTTCAGCCGATGACGGCAGGACTCACTCACCGATGGTTTAGTACTATTTAAGAGAAGAGCGACCAAAGCGCTCTCTGCCGCCAGCTACAGTGACGGAATCTAAGACTTTCTCAAGCAGCCTCACGTCTGGAAGCTGGATGGGGGGGAAGGGGTGAAGGTGAGAGAATAACAAAAGGTTGGTTTTGACGGTATGCTCTGGTGGAAAGGGTGAGAGAGGGGGAGGTGGAAGGAGGAAATGCTGTGATGGGGCGATGGTGGGCGCCGTGAACTGTAAATGGACGGACCTCAGGCAATTGATCGAACAAGAAGCCCCGGGGCGTCGTAGGTAAGCGACCTGAGTGGAAGAGCGGGCTAGAATGTGCTAGGCATCTGCAGTGCAGGCAGAGACAGGCAGTCGCAATGGGCCAAGAGGCAAACGTCCATCCACCCCCGGCACCCACTAACAGCACACTAAAATGATGTGGCCACAAGGACGGTATAGGAGCTCGACGTAGGTGCATGTATGTACTGGTACAGATTTCTGCCCTCAGCTCCTGATGTAAGCTCCACTGGAATACAACCTATTTTATGAATGTCTACGCCAAGCCTTATGTACCGCTGCCCCACCATGAAACATTTAGTTCGTCTAGATACCCCCGAAGAAGAAGCAGCCTCACTGATCGGGCAGACGGCCTTCGTTTCTCCTCCACACATCGAACTGCAGATGCAAGGCCAAGATCTATATCTAGGTAGGTAACTACTGTAGGTTGCCTAGGTAAAAGCTTCAAGCGCAGTAACCAAGCAAGCAACTTTCCGACACTCCCAAGTAGGCCCCGCAAAGCTACGCCTGAAGTTTGACCTCGTGGTGACCTCACTAACATTTGGCTGATGTCTGAGCGCTGAGGAAATGAACCGAATAGGTAGGTAGGCAAGGTACGTAGATACCAGGCCATTTGCCTCTGGCAGGCACAGGTATTCGTAAGCAATATTCTCCGGTGTTACCATCCATGGATGTGTCTGGGCGAGGCTTCAGTCTTGGTCACCTGCAAACCGGCCATTCTATTCCTGGACCGATGGCGATAAGGTGCTGACTCGCACACCTCAGCTTGGGTGCCTACTTAAGCCGTAATAGCAATCAGGTTAGCCCCATCTGATACATGAAGCTTACAGACAGACCAGTTTGGGATCTTAGAGAACTGTTTACTCCATCTACTTTGATAGTAGATTCGGGATTCAGACGAAGGTATGTACAGTACAACGGCAATCTGGAAGTTACCGTGGGATAACAGCAGCTGACTGACCCCTCACCTGTTGCGCGCCCCAATCCACTGAGCCTCTCCGCACTTGACGTCTCCCCCAGTCTCCACCCAGTTGCATTGGAATGCTTCCCAGTGACGGCATTGGGTGGCAGCTAGCGTGTCTGGGCAAGGGAGGCGCCCGCATTACGTAGACATTGTTGCTCCATAACGGGACGTAACAGGTGGTGGCCTGACACCGAGGGACCCGACCATTGCTTCGCTTCCCCCATCTCAACTGAAGACTCCGGCAGCCTTACCGAGATCAGAAAGCAATTTACCAAATGCGGAATGCCTCCTAGGGCGTGCGTGACCCAGCCCGAGATTACTTACGAGGTAAAGTAACTATTTTAAGAGCCTTCCAAGACGATGGTGGAATGGACCTACCCGCAACAGGAGACAGTCCATCGCATTGCTTGGAGCTATCAGTTCGATGGGGTGGAAACGGCCGTGTTACACACGTCCTGCACTTCTCGGTTGCGAGTCTGCAGTTCCCCGCGGGCTTGTCCCACCATTCCCAGCCAGAGAAGCAACCCAAAAGGCAATGCGGTTGGCAATCAACAATGAGGGCGTACAATTTCAGTGATGGGGCGGTTGGTGAGCATGCCAGAAACCGCATCAAGGCTGTTTGATTATGAAGCAACCAACATCCAACCCCCAAGGAATTAGCTTTACATACGTACATAGTAGCATACATGACAAGTGTGACCCCAATAGGCAAGCCGTGTGCGTGCAGAGCCTCTCGTCCCAAAAGGGCAAAACCCGAGCATATCAGGAGTCCATGATAGCCTCCAGCGCCCTCCCCAGCTCAGCCTCGTCATACCTCAGCACCCTCCCGCCCGCCTCCCCGCCCCCCTCCCCGCCCCCGACCATCCCGGCCGCCGCAACCCTCACACACTCGATCCCCAGCCCCCTCATCTCCTCCTCGTCCACGGCCGGCGCTCCCTTCCCCCGCAAGTAGATCAGGTGCGTGACATACCGCCGCATCTCCCCCTCGCCGCCACCACCCCCCCTCCTCCCCCTCCCGCCCCCCTTCCCAGCCCGACTCTCCTCCCCGGCCCTCGCCAGCGCCGCGACGAAGTCCCTCCCGCCCATCGGCCTCCCCCTCGGCCCCGTCTCGCGATCGATGCCCGAGTTCAGCACCAGCACGCGCTTCCTCACCCCGGGGTCCGCGATCGCGGCCCCGATCCCGCCCAGCACCACCGACGGCACGATGCTCGTGTACAGGCTCCCGACGCTGTAGACGACGGTGTGACTGGCCGCGACGGCCGCGACGGCCTTTGGGTTCGCCGCCGGCCAGATCTCGTGCCCGTACGGGTTGATGTACCACAGGCGCGACACGCGCGCCGGAAGGTCGTCGTCGCGGTCCGCGTCCTTGGTGAAGCCGACGTGTCGCCGCCCCAGCGCGGGGAGGCTTCCGGGGAGGTTGGCGTCCTCGCCGTCGTGCTGCTGGTCGTGGCTCTCCCCGTCGTCATGGTCGTCGTTGTCGTCTTCATCGGGAACCTGTCCCGTCCGGCCATCTCCCCCCGGTGTCGTGACTCGCTGCTCATTGCTGCTACCGTTGCTGCTGCTGCTGCTGCTGCTGCTGCTGCTGCCGTCGTCGTCGTCCGGCAGCGCTGAGTGCTCGGCTGGGTGCGAGATGGCCACCTGCCCCGCGATCTGGGTGCCGTCCTCCAGGCCAGCGCAGATGTGGTGCGTGAAGTTTGAGTTGATGGCCGGCAGGACCGAGATGGAGGTCGGGATGGCGCAGATCATGGAGAGGAGGTAGATTGCGGATTCGAAAGAGCCCGAGAAGAGGCGGGCCCTGGTCTTAATTGTCAGCTTGTATGCCCGGCCGTGTATGTATATACAGTACTTGTAGTCCGATATAAAAACCGGAGGGTTCCCATAAAACAGCAAACCCTCGCAGAGAGTCGTGACTGCAAACCTACCCGGTCAAGAACATGTTCCCGATGCTAGCCTCGGCAAAGTTGAACACGGACGTCGGCCTCGCCCGCTTGACGATCTCGAGGTTGAGCGTGTTGAGCACCGACCGGATCAGCTCCCGCTTGGGGCTCGACACGGCCGCCCACAGCGGATGCCGGCCCTCGACCACGTCGAGCCACTCGGTCCGCGCCTCGCCGCCGTCCCGGCACAGCCGGTACTCGAACAGCGCCTTGAGGGCCGTCCTCTCCGGGTCGTCCTCGTGGTTCGGGATCAGCCGGACAAGGCGGCCTTCGGAAGGGGAGAAGGGGTTCTCGGTTAGCATGCCCGCTCGGTCTAGCCCCATTGGCGGGGGTGGAAAAGGGGTTCTCACTACGGACGTCGCCGACGCCTATATTGATGTATCAGTGCTGGTTTGTGCAGTGTTGCGCCGCCTGGTTGGAAACTTACTGGGGCCGCCGATGAATCTTATCAGCTCCGACGAGCTGCCGCCGTTGTCGCTGATAGGAATGATGTAGTTGAGCTGGCATTTTCTCCGCTCGATGATTCGGTTGAACACATCGACGAGGCTGTTCCCACCCGTGCCTATGATGTACATGCATGAACAGTCAGAGTTTAATGATATGCAGCTCAGCCTGGGTGGCCACTCCTGACAGAGTCTGCTGGTCTTGCATACCTCCTGAAAATACGGTGATGCCCGTTCTCTTTGGGGCCGGGGTGCCTTTAGCACGATCCATATCTCGGTGAAGTTGAGTGTGAAGTGGAAGCAATTCGGTAGAGTGCTGTTGAACTCAAGATTGTTCCCAGCCTTACTTCGAGGGTCGATGACGACGAGGAGATGCAATTTCCGTTCCCCTTGTCGGCTTCCTCATTATATACACTTTTGCTCACGTCGCAACCCTAACGTGTTCTATTCGTATTCATATCCGGGGTGAACTCAGTCAAATTCCCCATTGAAACAGGGGGGAGCCGGCTTTTTCTCGGTCTGGACACATCTAACCTATCTTCCCATGCTAGCAGCGAGCTCTCGAGATGACGAAGGACTAATTTAAATTTTGCAATCGTGGGGCGGGTTGCTGGAGCCCCTACAGCCAGCCAGACTTGGCTAGGTCAGACGTTCGGTGTGAGAATGGCTCCAATCATTTGGCAGCTCTTCACCTATGCAACTTAACTGGAAAACTGGTACAGTACATTAGGAGCTGTAGACTCTGTTTGCATGCCCTGAGAAGGTACTGGAGTGGCCTTCCAAAGCATCACAAACATGACGACATTGCCAACTTCCTAGGAGTGTGGGCCCTGGAACCTAAGGATGGCAGTGCAAGTTTAACAAGGGTCATGAGAGATGACTCTTCCTCACAAAGGACAAGTATCACCAAATATACGCTGTGTCTCTGTCTGGACACCGTGGCATGAAAAGCAACCGCCTCAAAACCTGTCTTCAACTAAACAAATGCTATCGAGTTACTCCGTGAACGCCATGCAATAATTTCCCCCTTTCCACAAGTCGAACATACACTTTGACGCCCAACAAAGAGTGAATCGACAAAACATACCAGCAACTATGGCGCGAAGAAGAAGAAGTGAGAAGAGAAAAAGGGGGGTGTGAAAAAAAGAGAAGGAAAATAAAACACCGCGGCTGTGTGACGGGTAGGGACGAGGCTTTTGCTGCTTTGACGTGTGTTCGAGACTCGGCTTCTTTTTTCTTTCCCACACAAGGACCGGGATGCAAACAACTGCCGCCTCCAGATTTCCTCTCTGTCCGTCCTCCTCCACCTTCCTTCGCAACATCAGCGCCGCCACCCCCCTTCTCCCGAGGCCTGTTGCAACTGGCCCTAACCTGACCCTTCTCCCGAGGCCTGTTGCAACTGGCCCTAACCTGATTCCATCGGATGCCCTATAGGATCCGTGTTGTTGATTGTTGAGTAATACAACAACGCCCGGGGGGCCCCCGCAATATGTAGCAAGGATTGTCATGACCAACCCAACATGGAAGCCAAACGAACGAGACCAAAAGCAAACGAACTGCGCGTCGACTTCGCCCTACCGAGCAACCAACCATCCAGCGACTGAAGACCCCAATATAAGATACGATGAGGCGTGGGGGTTAAGTATGTCGTGACAGCGGGTCGGTAGCTAGATATGTCGAGCAGCGGTTGGAATTAAAGCGAGTATCGAAAAGTGTTGGGGGAGCGAAAAAGTAGGTAGTCCGCCGGCGTTCGCCCTCTGTCCTTCATCCTGCAGGGGGAGCCCAGAAGAAATGGCGCCTTTTGTCTGTCAACATGTAATGTGGCATTGCACAACACCTATGCCTATTATCCTCGACGCCCGGGATACAAAGCCGCGAGTTCTCCAGCCATGTGACATCAGGCCCGCCTCATTCTTTACCAAGCCTATTGCGGATAATAGACTACGCCGGAAGGGGGGGCTTGGGGATAGTAGAACCCGTCCGGGCTGGGCGTCACCATCCCACCCATGTTGACGACACCGGGCACGAAGCTTTGAGCGCCAGGGTAGGGTTGGAATCCCGGCACGGCAGGCAGCTGAGAAGCGTCGTAGTAGTAGACCATCCCATTGACTTCCTGAGCAACCAAGTTGGACGATGGAGCAGTCTGCCCGTTTGTCCGCCCGGCGGCATTAGAATCTCCCTGAGCGGGCTGGGTATAGCCGGGCGTCTGGCCTGGCTGCCCACCAGGGAACCCGGGAGCGCCGGTGTTGGGAGCTACATTGCCGCCATAAGTCGGGGGGTAGTAGTATCCTTGCTGGGGCTGCATCATCTGGTACTGTTGATTGTAGAACCCCTGCTGTTGATAAGCGTTGGGCTGGAATGGCGCGGCGTGGATGGCTCGCTCGGGAATCTGAGAGAGCGGCGTGCCAGTGGAATGCTGCGAGGGATACGATAGGTTCCGGGCGTGGGATTCCTGCGAGGGACCAGTCGATGCCGGGATGGGGTACTGATGGTGGAACGCTTGCTGGTAAGGCTGCGATGGTGATTCGATGTACTCGACGGAGACGGTCTTCTGCGGCCGGGGCTGGTGCATGGGGATCGAGTTCGGTCGGTTCTCCTGGAAAGTAGGCTTCTGGGGCAGAGGGTGGGTTTGAGGAGGCGGCAAATCGGAGATGGAAAAGTCTCCGCTTCCAGTCGACCTCTGGACGCCCATAGGAGACGCCATGTCCGGAGCAGGAGCACCCTGATTCGGATGAGCAAGAGGAGGTAGACGGACGACAGGCCTACCATTGTCCATGGGAATCGGAGGACGTGAGATGGCCGACCCGGTTGGCGAGAGGATGTAGTCACGGCCCATCTCAGGAGCAAGCGACGACCGTCGGCTCAAGGCGATGCTCGGGCTGTAGGTGCTGCCATAGAAGCTGCCGCCGAACACACTGGTGCGGCGAGAGAACCCTCCCATGGAGCCCATGGCAGACCGCGGGCCCTTGCCACGCAACCTTTGCTGGTTCGGCCGCATAGCCCGGGGGATGAATATGAAGGACCTATCCATCGCGGGGAATATGTACCGGGGCGGTGCGTCTGGCAGTGATATCCGCACAGGCTTGTCGCGCCGCAGAGGTGGCCGGTGGTCGGGCAGCTTTGTGTACTGCTTCACAGCCACACCAGAGAATACGACGGGCGTCTTCATCGGGGGGAAGAACACCCGGATCTGTACATTGGCGATGTGTTTCTCGGTGGACATTGTGCGGTTGATGGGGGTTGGGTTCTGCGGGCATGTCGGGATAATGCCATTTCCATTTGGTGGCCCTTCGTGGTTTGAGACATGGCGGATCGGTCGAGCTGGCGGCTGGTCGGTGACGGCCTCGTGCATATCATGGGTCCATGGTGCATTGGCTGTCGGATCCGAGGGAGTCTGGAATTGCCTAGATGGTAGTCATGTCAGTAGATGACGACGTTGGAACGGGGGGACGGGGGAAGAAGATAGGGAAGAGACGGGAAGGGAATGGGCATGTGTTGACATACTGCACCGGCACAAAGAGCCCGCCGCCGAAACCGCCACGGCCTCGGCCGCCGCGAGCTCCTCTTGCAAAAGGACGGAAGCCGTTTGCCGCGGGGCCGGCATGTCTGTGGTCGTGCATGAAGAATGCCCCCCGGTTGGGCACGAAGGCAGGATCCTCATCCCTCTTCCGCCTGTACTCCTCCTGTTCCCGTCGCCGTCGCTCGTGCAGAGGCGCTCGCGGTTGGGGTTGCGGAGCAGAGGCGGAGCTCACAATGACGGGAGCCGAGTCCTTGGTGGGCGACTTTTGGACGTCATCAAAGTTCATCTCTTGAGCAGGAGCGGTCTCATCAGAGATGGACAGGCCGTTGAGCATGATGTCGGTGTCCGTCATGACCGGTTGGGCCGGTTTGGTGGCATCGGGCGCGCTGGAGGGGGCCTCGTCGGCCTGGCGGCGTTGAGCTGGTTTCACAGCTCCGTGGCCCGCAGCCTTGGTGGCATTGAGCGGTGTGGGCGATGTCTCGTCGATGTTGCTCGTGTCGCTATCATCAGCGTGGTCGTTGTCATCGCTCCCGACGGAGCCCTCGGTCAGGGAGTCGTCATCGAGGTCCACCGTTCCAAGACCGCCCTCGTCCTCGCCCTCGTCCTCGACGCGGCGTCTGTGGCCGATGAACTTTCTGCGTCGCGGCACCGCGGCAGCCATCATGTGCATGTCGATGGTGTGAAACAGCACGGAGGGAGGGAGATGGGCGAGTGCTGCGGCCGCAAGGGATGCAGGAAGCTGCGATGCCGCCGAGTCAGCGAGGTCATACGGTGGCGGCGGGCAGAGCAGATGATGCTCTCTCTCGCTTTCTCGACTTTCCGTAGGGCTCGGCAGAGAAAGGAAATATCCGAAACCGTAACCGGCCTGCGGTAGACAAAGAGATTGCCGACGTATGTTTCGTGTACTGTAGCCCGAGGCGGGTCTGGTTAATTCGACGGCGAGGTATTGCTGTTGGCGAGGAACGGCGCTGCAGAAATAATCTTGCCTGACTTGGTAGGCTGGCAAGGGAAGGGCGACGCTCGGCAATAAAACAAAAAAAGGGCAGGGGCAGAAAGAACACAGACAACCTTCGCAAAGCGGTAAAAGTAGGTACCTAATCAAGCCGTCAAGAGAAAAAAATCACTGCTTGCCAAGGAGATTCCGGCAGGATATGAGGCTGCAAAAAGCGGCTGCTCGGTTTCTCAGACTATTATTATTATGGGATTTTATTTCTTGTTTTTCTCTTGTTTCTTCTTAATAGGCTGGAGGTGGTGAATTGGGGTTGTCATCAGGGATTGGGACTCAAATTAGGTGACAGGGCCTGTGAATGTGGATTTACGGCGGTAGGGTAGGTTATGTACAGTACCTCCCTAACTACCTACGTCCTCGACTTCCCTCATCCCGCCCCTTCACCCCTCACCAAGAGATAGCTTTCATGTGTGTAGAACGGGTGTAGCTGTTCGTGAGTCACTCGCTGCTCGCCGGGGCTTTTAATCCACGCCCTCCTCGAGACTGGCGGCTGGTCACTGCGGGCAAAAAGAGCGGTAACCTGGTGGGCATTTACCAACTAACATGGAACCTACCTTAGGTAGGTAGCTAGCTACCTCACATAGCATAGCACGTAAGCGTAGGCGGGCTACCACTAAGCAGCACCCGCCTCCCGTCATTACATCACAGATCACAGGCCAGACCACAGTGCCCATCATCAGCAAAGCCAGCTCATCGGGCATGACGAGAAGTAGTATTCAGAAACCACACCGGGACGCGGTCTTCTGATGAAAAAGAACCACTCTCCCCGCCCATTCCCGCCCATCTCCCATATCTTTGACAACACGCTGCAGTTCACGGGCAAGGCATTGGTCGTCCGCACCCGGACTCGAGTGCTTTTGCTGCCTGGCAGGCCCAAGAACCTTCCAATCCGGATGAGAGAGCTGATGGGGGCTAACGGTCACGAACTGGCCGGGTCGTGTAATGCGCGTGTGGGTGGGTGGGCCTGCAGCAACGTCTGTGCCATTAAGACGACAGGTTCGGAATGCTTGATGCTTCTCAATGGCTCTGGATTTCCAACCCAGATGTATGCTTTGCATCATCTACCTACCACCTTAGCAACAGCGCCAGACGCGGCCTTGCTTCCCCAGAGATAATTAGGTAGATTGAGGTTGGGGAGCAGCAAGGGTTACGGAATACCTACGCAGAAGTGAATCCTCGCCCAAAGCACGGTGCTGTCCGCATGTTGCCGTAGTTTTGCACGCAAGGTTCCAACCGTTGATCCTGGCGTGCCAATGTCTTGACTCGGCGCCGTTTTGAAATTTGGTTGGCTCCCGGCTCTCAACCTGGACACGCCAACCCTACTGCGTAAGTTCCCTTTGGCCCAGCGCTCCGCAAGCATTTGTCAGCTGCTCTAGAACAAAGAGTTGGGTTGTTTGGGGCTGCAGTCTTTCCCTTGATATCTACCTGCCCCCTAATTTAGGCTAGGTGCAAACATATGTAGGTCTTCAAAATCAAATACCGGTATGTCCATTCTTTGGTGTGGTGTGTGCCTACCCTGCCAAGTAAGGAAAGAAGGTAACAGCAACAGACAACCCATGCCATTCCTGATTCTTAGCGCAGCGGAACTGTAAGCCGTGAACCAGGGCCCTGTCATTTGGCGGCAAGTGAGATACCCGACAGCGTGGAATTCGCGGGGTGACCCCCACGCAAACTCCATCCCCGGACCAATCAGGAATCGCCTTTACTTCTCTGCAAGAGTCCCGCGCCAAGATACCCATTTCAACATCTCCCGTTCTTAGCCACTTGCTGGAGGCTCCAAACTCTGCGTCTTCTCGATCTTGGGAACACACCCGAAACGGCTGTTGCCCTGATCCCAGATCTAGCCCGAACAAATCTGTCAGCTCTTCGCTCGTTCTTTCCCTTTTCTCGGGGGCAACGGCTTTGCGATCAAGACACTGGACTCACCGCATAGACAGACTTGAGGAAGGTATCGCCGAGAATGTCGAAGGGGTTCTCGCCGCGCGATTGGACCCCACCGTACCAGTTGTCACTGTCGACGGGGGCGAAGACGAGATCCTCCTTCTGGATGACGAACTCCTTATCGCCGATGGCGACGCTGAAGTCGGGCAAGTCGTTCGTTTTCACGCTCATGGGGATGATGTAGCCCTGGTACTGCTCGCTGTAGGTGGCACCGTCGATCTGCTTATAAAGGGCGTCGCAGACCTTATCCGAGACAAGCGCAAGGGTTGTACCGGTGTCGGCAATGGCCGTGTTGCCAGACAGCGTGATCTGTTGGCCGTTGATAGTGGCGCTGGCACTGTTGAACATCCAGAACCCCTGGGAGCTGTCAATACCGGCCCACGAGATATCCTCGCCCGACGCCGAGACGAGATCCTGATCGATCCAGCCGAAGGTGTAGAACGAGTTCGACTCCGAGTCTCGGGTGCTGTAGAAGGCCGACGTGAAGAGTTCCGCATCCTTGGGAATGTCCGACTGCGAAATCATGTTTGCAACGGGTGTCGGCTGCGGGTCGGGGGAACCATTCGTGGTTATGGTGTTGATCTCCGGGAAGGCGAGTCCAAGAAGGCCGTCTCCGGTCCCCTGCGCGAACTGGGCAGCGAGAGTCTTGGCTAACTCGACAGCCTGGTTCTTGATATTGAGACCGCCAATGCTCAAGACGTCTGTCCCGACGTCACCAGAAGCAGAGCTGCCATCTCCATATTGGATCTCCCAGGCCTCGCTCGGTGACTTCTTGAAGGTTGAGGACTTTGAGGGGTCAAAGATGTTATGGCCGGACCGGGAACCAGCTGGAAGCTCAGTGGAGAACACCTGTGCGTGTGTTAGCTAGAATATTCCGGAGTATTGCTTTCCCACTGGGAGTGACGGCACCCAAAGGTCAGATGAGCCCGTGTCAAAATCGAGCTTCAGCTTCTGCGGAGGAGTGCCAATCTCGACCTCGCATAGGTACATGGAATCGTTTTGCTGGTCTTCAGCGGTGACCTCGCCGGTCTCGGCGTCATCTGGACTAGCCTTCTTCACCAGTCGCTTCTGCATCTGTACGCGGCCACCCACGGCAGCGGTGCCACTAGCAAGCCCTCGCTGGTGAACCCGCTTCTGGTGGAAATAACGGCCGGGCTTGGTTGGTTGGAAACCGAAGCGATTCAGCAAATAGACGTAAGACTTTGTGCCATCGCGCTTATAATTCTTGTTTGGGATGACGGGGATTTTCTGGAGGTCACGTTCGCTCCTGAACTTGGCCTGTGTCTCAAAGACTGCTTCCATTGTGGAGGTCACAAACTTGCGTGGAGATCGGAATCTACCCTGATCGATGAAACTGCGGTAGGTGTAGCGAAGGGCAGGATAACGAAGGGCCATGTAATGAAGGGAGGTTGACGAGGGAGATTGGAAGCATCCGACTACCACCCAAGCAGTACTTATACGTGTGCCATCGGGCAGTCTGGTCTCATGTCCAAGTCAGTTGCACTTCCCAACATAGGAAGTTGACCATCTTTGTGTGTAACGACCACAACCAGAACGAAGCCGGCAGTGACGCCATGTTCCGGGGGCTGAACGTCTCAAAGAGGCAACCTTGGCAGGTACGGTGCAGTCAGGCGGGAGAAAATGCATCACAACCAGGGACAAGCAAGCAAACCCGGTTTGCAGCCTCAGAACGCGACCTGCCAACCAGTAAAAATTATTTCTGGATGGAGGTCATGACGGCGTTGCTCCAATTCTTTGATCCAATTGCAGGCGGAGCATCCCTGGCAAGGGCGAATAGACGATATAAATCTCGAGATATAAATACGTTGCTCTGAAGATCCAGTGGCGAAACGCTTGCCCCAATACCTCGATTCTACAAATAGAAAAGCTGTCTGAGTATTGATGAGCAGCAACGTGTGATACGTTAATCAAAGTTCTTGATAGGCATATAAACTGGCCTTGCCAATATAACCGTGGAATGTCCCGTAGAAGCTGTTAGAAATACTGGCCAGAAGGCATCTTGACAGCATCTTCACATCTCGTTAGTCCCGTAAGAGGTATATCCGCCTGATGTTCTATGATGTGGAAGGCATCATAGACTATGTAAAATGCTGCCTACCTCTACATCGGGTTGGTGTGGTTCGCACCCCCTGTTTTACTCTATGCCTCGTAGACGTGTTTCATTGGCACCTAAATACCGCACCCCTCTGCCCGATGACTCCATATGCGCCCTTCCGATTCAAGCACTCGATCTACTACTACGGTACGGAAGACAGCTGCTCAGTATAATTGTCCAACAATGACGAGCCGTCCAGAGCGCCGAGAAAGTTCCCCCATACATCGGCGCATGTGACGACTTGCGGCCACTGCTCTTGCACATCCTGTCTTGTGCGACAGTAAGTGTTGTTGGAAGTTTCCTAACTGTCGTCTGGGGATGTGTTTCAGTTCCCATGGCATTGAAAGGGCTCGACGAGGTAACAAGGGTGCGGATCGAGTACACCAAAGAGAGGGAGAGATTCAGAGGTGAGGGGGGTAGGGATTTAGATACACACAGTTTCTTAGTTCGCTGTGATGTTTAGTTCAAGACGCCCATCCTCATCCCCATCCTCACCTAGGTCGGTGACGGACTCAGCATCCTCTCTACGTATCCTTTATCCAAGGAGAATGATCTTTCACCTCAAGGCGGCAGTTCGGGGAACATCCATGCCGACCTCATAGATCTGGTCCCCTTCTGAGAAGGGCTATCCCGCCAACCATCTGACTTTCTGCGTAACCGAAGGTACTCTCTGTCATCTGGAGAGAATGGACGTTGTAGAACTAGACGGGTGAGATGGAGTTCCAGATAAAGGAGATAGCTGGGCTCAGTCAAGCTTGATCCTCCCAAAAGTGAAACCCCTGACCCCGTTGCTCAGCCAACATTCCTCGCCGTCCTCAAGGGAGGAGGCCTTGACCACTTCCTCAACGGCGAGCGCCCTAATAACGGTGAACCGGGGCCCAGGACGTGTGAATGGAGTCGACAACATACCTTTCTAACGCCCACCTTCTTGATGTCCCGTCATTTCCGCCACTTCCGTCTTGGAATGTAAATCTGGATGAAACCGGCGGCGTTACCCATCGTCCGCCTCTCCAGAAGTAAGGAGTGGTGGTGCTCCCTTCCATGATCGAATCGTCGGCATCATTGATAATAAGCACCTCTTTCTGAGTAGGAAGGCCGATCCCTGCTCTTCGCCGCGCCTCGTCGTACATGGCCCTGCGGGTAGTCTTGAAGTGCGTGTACTCGGAACGCCCAGTCCTCTGCTTATCGAGGACCACCTCAAACGCCAGGTCCTTGCAAGGAAAGACCTCGCTCGTCTCTGTCTTCCCTGGCACGGGGAGCCTTTCCGGAAACAGGTTGGCAAGAGCTCGCTTTGGGACTTCAGATGCCACAACTCCCAACTCTCCTTCCCTTGAGATATCCACTCTAACCTTGGAAGGTGCTCCTTGACTCTGTCCCAATGCCTTGATTACGGATTCCGAAAGGGTGTGCAAACCCACATCGCCACTGAGAACATGGACAGCTGCATCCCAACCCCAGTGGGTGGCCGCTCTCAGCATGCGGTCACGATGGAAGTCCAGCATATACAGCGGCGAGGGATTCTCCCGGTTCCAGCCTGCGTGCTTTAGTGCGCTGCCAGGGACCTCTAGGAGAACAGGGTCATAACGAAAAGAAGTGAAGATCTGAAACGTCTCTGCCATTGTGGTCTGCGGAAGTACTCCTCGAGAGGGGAGAAACACCGGGACAGTCTGAGAAATAATAATAAATCGGCACAGCGAGTAGGGCACTTATATCTCCCGTTGTTTAAGTCAAGAGGAAACCTCGATGCGGAGATTCCACAGTGCAAATTAGGCATGGACAATCATTTGCTGCTGGGCTAAGGACCTTGCTCGTGCAACACGAGCACTGAGTACCTACCTATCCATTAAATGAGTGAAACCAGCTCGAGCAACCTACCCAATATTTAATAGTTGTGAAGACAGGCAGGTATTTCGTGGCTGCTTCCAATGCACTCCCTTCCAGACTCCAAATCTACGTACTGTTCGGATCCGTACTTTGGTACTGTGCTGTGCCTCTAGAATGACGGAGTTCTGCCTTAGGCAGCAACCTAACTGACCTGGGCCTCGGAAAAACCGCGTGGAGCTTCCAGTGGTTGCCAAGTAATTTACCTGCCAAAGTTAACCGTCGCGCCGACCAATTTTTTTGAGCGTCTGCAGTCAGGTGCTAATACAACTACATCATCACGCCGTTGGAACATCGCTGCAGTTTGTCGTTTCCAACCCTAATATCTCTCCGAACGGCATTGTTCTTATCCTCTTCCTTCCAGAGGTCCTTTTCTCTGTCACAATCATGTCTGTCATACCGCCACCAATGCCTCCGGAGAAGCTCGCCGTGCTTCCCTCGGACCCGTCAGTCTGGGACCGGATTTCGAGTTGGGTTTCTGAGAACAAGGCCGTTGTGTACACAATTGCTGGTGTTGCCGTGGTGGTCACAACTGCCGGAGCTGTATATTACATAAGGAACAGCTCTGTAAGCCTTCCTTCGTCTGCTCATTGATACTTCCCTTAATGCTCTTCCCGTCCCCGGCAAAGTGGGAAGCTTAATATGGGTTGGTTTGTACTGACAGGCGCCGCTCCGGCCCGACCAGGAACCAAAAGACACCGCACCCAGACCCAGCAAGAAGGAAAGAAGGAAACGGAAGCAAGCCGAGCGCGATGCAGAGAAGGCTACCGCTGCCTCGACTGAATATAGCACTTCCCAGCCTAAGGCCGCATCCGTCGAGGCCGCGGACGACCTGCCGGAGATTGACGAAAACACAGTCCTGGAGCTATCGCAAGAGCAACGTGGAACTTATGCTGCCAAGTTGAAGGAGGCCGGGAATAAGGCGTACGGCTCCAAGGACTTCCCCAAAGCCATTGACTTGTACTCCAAGGCCATCCTCTGCAAGCCCGACCCGGTCTACTACTCCAACCGTGCCGCGTGCTATAACGCCTCATCCCAGTGGGACAAGGTCGTCGAGGACACGACTGCCGCCATCAACCTGGATCCTCAGTACATCAAGGCCCTCAACCGTCGTGCAAATGCCTATGATCACCTTGAAAAGTATAGTGAAGCACTCCTGGACTTCACGGCCAGCTGCATCATCGACAACTTCCGCAACGAGCAAAGCGCCCAAGCTGTCGAGAAGCTTCTCAAGAAATTCGCGGAGTCGAAGGCAAAGGAGATCCTCGGGTCGAAGCCAGCGAAGCTCCCGAGCCCCACGTTTGTTGGCAACTATCTGCAGAGCTTCAGAGAGAAGACGCGGCCCGTTGGTTTGGAAGACTCGGTGGAGCTGGCCGAAGACACCGGCAAGGGCCAGCTTCAGCTCGGCCTGCGAGCATTAGAGAGGAAGACAGGAGAGAGCTATGACGAAGCGTCGGCAGCCTTTGACAAGGCCCTCGAGCTCAACGACCTGGGCGAGTACGAAGCCTTCGCATATAATATGCGAGGCACCTTCCGCTGCCTCAAGGGGAAGCACGATGAGGCTCTCCAAGATCTCTCCCAGAGTATCTCGTTGGATCCGGCAATGACCCAGAGCTACATCAAGCGTGCCAGCATGAGCCTCGAGTTGGGTATGTAACCACCCCCCCCCCCCCTCCTCGGTTTGTTTTATCGATCCCATGCTGACAGCCTACAGGTGATCCAGAGCAAGCCGAGGAAGACTTCAACAACGCGATGACGCAGGACGCAAACGATCCCGACATCTATTACCACAGAGCTCAACTGCATTTCATCAAGGGCGAGTTCGCCGAAGCGGCCAAGGATTATCAAAAGTCGATAGATCTTGACCGGGACTTCATCTTCTCCCACATCCAACTCGGAGTGACCCAATACAAGATGGGCTCGATAGCATCGTCCATGGCCACTTTCCGTCGCTGCATGAAGAATTTCGAAAAGACGCCAGACGTATACAACTACTACGGCGAGCTAATGCTGGACCAGGGGAAGTTCCAGGAGGCCGTCGAGAAGTTCGACACTGCCATCGAGATGGAGGCGGCTGCCAACCCGACGAACATGAATGTTCTCCCCCTCATCAACAAGTCGCTCGCATTGTTCCAGTGGAAGCAAGACTTCTCCGAGGCCGAGAAGCTGTGCCATAAGGCTCTGATCAGTAAATCCGCCCCCTTTACTTCAGCCCCCTTGTCTTCCTGCTCTCCCATCCTCCTTGTGTGGTTCATACACTAACGCGCAATTCCCAGTTGATCCGGACTGCGACATCGCCGTTGCCACCATGGCACAGCTCCTCCTCCAGCAGGGCAAGGTCACCGAGGCGCTGAAGTACTTTGAGCGCGCCGCCGAGCTCGCCCGGACCGAGGGCGAGCTGGTGAACGCCCTGTCCTACGCCGAGGCCACGAGGACGCAGATCCTCGTCCAGGAGAAGTACCCGCAGCTGGCAGCTAAGCTCTCCGGCATGGGCGGCGCCATGGCGATGCGCTAGAGCATCGCGCTCGCCCGCACGCCCTCCGGTGTGTGTTCCTCGTTGGGGGGGGGGGGGGGGGGGGGGTAAGATATTGTGTTTTTAGTTTGGTAAGTGGGTTGAGCCGGTCGAAGTAGATGTTTAGGGTGCACAAAAAAAAAACGGAGACCCCGTTTCGAAATAAAAAAA